AGAGACAGAAGAGCTTGCTACCTCTCTCTACCCTGTGAGGACACAACCAGAAGTCTGCTGTCTACAAACCTAAGCACTTTCTCACCAGACACCAGATCTGCCAGCACCTTGATCTTGGACTGCCCAGACTCCAGAACTGTAAGAAACGAATGTTTGCTGTTCCAGCCATCCAGGCTATGGAAGTCTGCTAATAGCCTCTTGAACTGACTAAGCCAACGAGCTTGACAGACACACCGTAGAACGGCTATGGTCAGAATAGGCCATCTCGAGTCTAAATACATCGTGTTTTTCAGTAGGTGCAAATGTGTGGCAGTGAGAATAACGTGCAAATCAAAATCTAGGAGATTGCTTCACCTAAAGTCTGATAACGCAGGGGAGGTCAAAGCTCTGAAAGGCATATTTCTACCATCGCACTGCAGTTTCCTGGTAAGTAACCCCCACTCGCCGTGGTTCACAAGCTCTTTTCCCCCAACTTCAATTCCCCCTTCCTGTCCAGATGATGAGACTGGCACTGCTGTGTCGCAAAACCAAACACCAGATAGACCAGCACAGCCCAACGGCTCTCTTTAAATATTTTCCCTTTAGAGGTGCCTGGGTAGCTCAGTGGGTTGGGCGTCCAACTACTGATTTTGGCTCATGGCCATAATGGCTCATGGCTCAGGGTTGTGAGATCGAGCCCCAGGACAGGCTCTGCGCTCAGCGGGGAGTCCGCTTGAGATTCTCTCCTTCCCCAACACCACCCGCGCTTACGCACTCTCCCTCTAAAAAATACGTATTTTCCCTTCAGCCAACATGGTCAATTTGGTCTGATTACTGGACTGTCCTGGAATGTACCATTGCTATTTGTTGCATTTCCCCCTCTCCACAGCCCTCCTGTGTGCTAAAAATGCATTCCTAAGGCTTTGGTTTGATTCTGGTTTTGTGCTGGTCATCAAAAGTCAGACCAGTATTTCTTCGAACAGGACAGACTGTTAAAGGGTGCAGAGGAGCAAGGAAACACGGCGTGGAGGCGTCTGTGGATAGAATAAAGCACACACTTTATTCACTGAGTGGTGAGTGTACAGCAGTGACGCGGAGGGCAGGGCGGGGAGCGAGTGTTGTTTGCAACGGGAGCGCGAAGCAGGTCGGGGCCATTAAGCACAGCAATGCGGGGCCACGGGGCCGCCCCTGCCTCTGCACACGTCTGTGGTCTGCCGGGCGCAGACCGACACCCACTCACTTTCACGGGGACACGACACATCTTGTACACAGCGGTTCTTCCCAATACTCACTTTCGTTTCTGAAAGGGGAGGGAAGGAAGAACTGGACGTCTTCTGACGCTTGCAAGAAAATTCCATTCAACTGAACTTAAAATCAAAGGACTCCAAGAGAACCGGATGCAGGATTGTCGGCAACTCACAGACACCACACATTTATTACTGGATGGGTCCGTACCCAGAACCCAGAAGGAACATATCGGGGACACTTGTTTTCTCTTCCACGGGATAAGGAAACATAGGCACATACAGTCATTAAGGGGCTCCCCACCTTTCTGAATGGCAGTGGATATAGCAGTGTCTCCCGCTACCTTTGGTGAATGAGGTCCGAAAAGTGATTCGCGGGGTCTTCATTCTTGAGAGAAGACACTTTGGGGAAGAATTTTATGTCATGATAACAACTGCCAGTCCATTACACCAACCACCATTGCATTTGTTTGATTTTGCTGTGTTTACATATACTGCTTAGAAATTTCTTTCAGCTGAAACAGACCACCTCCCCCTTTCCACTTTGCCATAAATGAAACTCACCCACTTAAAAACACAAAAATCCATATGCAAAGCAGATCAATCACCATCTCCTCATGGCTTCCTGGGCAGCAAATGGAAAGAGTGATTTTTTTTTTTTTTAAGCCAAAGTAAAAATTTCTCTTTCTTTCATCACAGCATAGTTGCCTAGTTTCCTTAATGTACATTATCACTTTAAGGTGATGTCACAGCAAATCTCACGCCTGAAATGATCTCTTTTTCTGAATAGAACATCCTTCAAAAGGGAGTACTAATGAGTGAGTTGTAGGGTTTACTCACAAACACTTGGTTTGTCCAAAGAAAATAATTTTAAAGATCGAGTCAGGTCAAGGCTGGCCTAGGAAGAGTGGATAAAACAGTGACCAGTCATACAGAAGAGGTGATTTGTAAAAACAGCTTGTCTCGGAGGACACAGACGGGGGGATTACATGAAGTTCATGGAGTTCATTGCCTTCCCCACTCTTTCCTGACAGTCAAAGAGAGGGCTCGCCTGCCCCTTCAACCCACAGAACGCTAACGCTTTTTGAAAGAATCTTTAGAAAGACCTACCTAGTCAAAAGTGGTTAATTCCATTTTTTTAACTTGCAAAAGCATGTATATTTTATATAATCATCTGAGAAGCAATTCTTTAGAAAAAGGTGTTTGCTTTAAATTGTAAAGAAATTAAGTGAAAGTTTTATAAACATTTCCAGCAAGACTTCTCTCAAAGTCGAGTTGACGGCCATCACCAGACTGAGAGGATGAGAGTGGCAAAGGGAGTGTGCACCGTAGGACCCATGAACCCTGGCTTTTCTGTGGGAGGTTTCAGCGAATAGGCAGTTTGTCCTTAGTTGCTGAAGAAGTCCCATTAAGAACATTTCATTACTAACATGAACCAAAATACAGATGCTTAGTTAGCTATACAAGTTCCCAAATTCTCTTTAGGTCTCGTCTTGAACCACACGGGAAGAGTAAATGGTAGCCTGGCTTTTCTGGAAGAGACTTTAAAGCACTGACTTTCAGGCTGTCAGAGGCCTCTTTTGCTTCGTGCAGGCGCTGGGTGCTTAAAGAATCAAAAATAAGCCCAGCGCTCAAAAATATAGCCCTTGGGGTATGGACCAGGAAAGCCTGCCACGTGTCGAAGTCCTCCCCTAGAGTAAACAAGCCTGTTCCTTGGGCTGCGTTCACAACTAGAATTTTTGTGTGCCATGCAGAGTGGGGTTCAAGCAGAGAACACTGATCTCCTATACAGTGGCCTGGACGTTTTGAGGACCAACGTGCTGAGACCAGTTTAAAAGAAAAAAAATGGCGAGGCCCTTGTAGCCCATATATTAGATTTGGCAGTTAGGAGAACCTGGTTGCCCCATGACCCAACCCTCCACTGGAGCCTTCTGCTGAGAGTGGAGTTGGGGAACCCAGTCCACATTATGGTTTCCCACAACCCCTCCCCAGAGCATAGCACTGCGTCCTTTGTAGACAGGAGGCTATGGACATTTTCCAGTAATGCATTTTGCACAGTATAGTTTAAATTAGCTAATATACTTGGAAAGAAGCTTCCCGCCCCCTACCCCCACACTGGGTACAGAACGGAATTCAAAAGAGATAGGAAAAGTAGAGTTTCATTGGTGGGAGCAGGTTTTGGGTTCAGATCTTTAACTATCGTTGCAACTTTTCTCACCCTGGCATTTGCTTGCATGTGCATGGGTCATAACTCGTTAACCAATGACAACATTGAGGGTCCTTTAGGATCCCCGTTAATGGAAAAATTCTCTCCACCAGCCCAGCACTGGGACCCATCTGGCCATCCTCATTGTGGATTACTGGGAAGGCACCACGGTCCCCACTCCTCCCACTTTGCCAGTGCGAAGCCAGGACTAGGATTCTCAGGCACTGTACTGAGGCTGCTGCTGTCAGAGAGAAGAGCAAAGACGGGGCAGCAGAAATATAGAATAAAAGCAAGAGGCCACTCAAGGCACTGAACTGCAAGCTGCAAACTAGGGGCTTCAGCCCAACGAGGAGCTGGTTGTCTCAGGTCTGCTCCATCAGAATCATTTGCAAGGTATTTTAGTAGGTCCAACACACACACACACACACACACATACACACACACACGTGTGCGCACAGGCACGTGTGCACACATACATGCTCGTATATGTGAAAACAGGCCTCAAACATGCAGTGTGCAGCACTCAAAGGACAGGCGGCTCTAGAGCTTTCGGGAATAGCACACGGGAAAAGCCAGCCCAGATCCCCTCACAGCACCCAGGTGATGGAGCGGGTGCCACGTTACAGGTCTGCAGCAGTTTCCAAAACTATTTTTGTTTGCTTCTTACCGTGGAGATTGGCTACTAACTAATTCGGATACTTGGTGGCCACAGGAAGAATTTCTTAGCTTTTTAAAAGTAGTGGCATATGAAGAGAATTCGAACGATTTCTCCTTTGGCTTTAAAACAGAATTTAAATTCCTAGGCAGAGCCCCCAGAGCACGAGGCCAAATGTGAAAACCACCCACGTGTGGAGCTAGAGGGAGATACCCTCCCTTGTCCGCCTCACCACTTGAGTCACGGCTGGAGGTGTCCGGGAATCACGATGCGGTCTCACATGCACGTTTTGGTGAAACCCTAGGCTCCCCTTTGAATCTGGCGTTGCTGAATTTGCAGACTCTGGTGGGACGCTCCGAGGTCCACGTCCAGCCTGATCTGAGGTCTGGGGTCCTCACTGTGCTGCAGATCTGAGCTATATGAATTGCGGGGGATGTTGGCTTCTGACCCCGACACCCTTCCACGGATGCCCCGTCAGGTGAGGTCTGACCTCAGTGCTGACCTCTGAGTCACACGCAAGTGTGCAAACGTTCCTTGGAAGCTGCAGCACCCGAGCAGAGACGAAATGCAAAATAACATGCAGATGCCTCAGACTACACTGGGGCGTCCAATGATACACACACGCGCGAGCACACACACACACACACACACACACGCACGGACACGCACACTGTGAAGTCAACAGAGCTAGGCAAGAAGGAAAGCTGAAAAGGTCAAATGAAATCAGTCTGAGGCAATATACCCTGGAGTTGCAGAGATTTCCAAGAGCAAAGCGTGCCTTTCCTTAGCCTACTACTCAAGAGACCTCAAAAAAATCCCAAATCCAAGTGGGCCTGATTAGATTCAGGGGCCCTGGGGTGAGGAGCAGGGGATGTAAAGTAGAAGAACTTGCATTGGCGGGACACGGGATTTTCCCTTTTTTTTTTTTTGCCAAGAGTGTTGTGGCCCTGGGTCAAAAATCATCCAACAGCACACAACTGGAGATCATCTCTCCCTTTCCTTTCTTTGCAGTGGGGGCCTGCGATAGCACCTGTCCTTGGTGGGGAGGCAGAGGGAAACGTACAATCTGAAGCAGAAAAAGAATTAAGGGCTAATCATTCCTTTTCCCTCTCTTTCTCTTATTTATTAATTTTTTCTTTTTTTTTTTTTTAGTAATAGCTAAGTAATTTGCCAACCAGGTCCTAGCAAAAAGTAGAGAAAAAGGAGCTTATTAAAAATGACCTCGGCTGCTATCCAGCCCACTCACTCAGAGCCGCCCAGCTCCCCAACTCTGATTTCCATCCCGCTGGGGCCCAGGCCGGGCTTCATGAGGCCAGTGAGGACAGGGGTGTGCAAAGTGGTGCGACCACATAGGTACATCCCTCAGGCTCTTCCTCCTTAGCCACGGTGCTACACAATGCATTCCTGCTTCGGAATGATTACGACTGCTTTTCCCCATGTGGCATCCTAAGGGCACTTGCTGGCTCTTACCCAAACAGTCAGCACTCTGGTTAGACAACAGATAAAGGAAATGGAAGAAGTAGCTCCTGTTGTGTACATAAGGTGATGTTGGAAGGTCACGTGTGAACACTATGGTCGAGTGTGGGGAACACAGAAATTCTGACCCCATTACTTCTTGGCAAGTGTTGCCGGTGGCTGGCCCAGTATTTGGCTCATGTGTGTTTTAGTCAGGTTTCTGGTTCTGTTGTTGCTGAGGGACAGAATTCTGTCTAAAGTTTTCGAATTCTCCAATCACGTTCGGGCCTTAACACAACATCCTATGTGTCGCCGCCATGTCAGTCCTTTTCTTAACTGCTTGTCTACATGGTTGGGGGCGGGGGGCGCGGGCTTAGAAGAGTTTCGCTTTCTTCTTCATGTCGTTGCGTCTCCAAAGAGGTAACTTGTCAAATTCCTGTATGGACATTCCAAAGATTTCCCGAAATACTTCTGGGGCTAAGTGGCGCTGTGGGTGGGAGAAAGAACAGTGGTCAGTCCCGATGGCCACGTGGATGGCCTTGACACTTGATTTTGAGTCTGTAAGTGATGGTTTTGAAAAGCAAGGCAGAATGATGGCAGAGGAGTTTACCTCTGAAGCTGGTTGGCAGGCCCTGGACCAACTGGCTCCTTACCTGGTTGGCCCAGGCGAGGCACCCACCCCAGCAGACAGAGCTGGCGGAGTAGTAATGATTATTACAATAAGCTACCCAGTGATGGAACATATGAAGGTGATTCATTATGCTAGAGGCAACTCTGCTTCAGGTCCTTGGGATGCTGAGAAGATGCAGGGAAAATGGACCATAGCACTAAGAAAACCAGAAACTTCCAGAGTGGTGTCTGGGTAGCCCTGGGGCTTCCTCCTGGCTCAGCAGCAGCAGGAGCTCTGCGGGGCGCCTGGTCTACCAGGAGAATGGATTCCATCTGTTGTCCCTCCTAAACCATTCCCTTAGGATAGTAGAGCCTTTCTTCTCTGCAACAGAGTGACTTCACATACAAAGGTATTGCCTTTCGTCAGGAAAAAGTAATGATTCTTTATGAGACTGGCAGCCAGAGTTTTTCTTAATTAAAATCACTCAGATGGAACAGTATGAGCAGCCTTGGTGTCTAAGGGGATCCTGGGTATGTGCACCCAGATAACCCTTCAGCTAGCGGTGTGGAAACAGCCAAGAGGGAAACTTGTCCAGGGCAAACCTCTTCACTGAGTACTTCCTTCCCTCTCTTGACAAAGTTCAACCCAGGTGCTGGGATGTCTGAAGAGGGATGGGATCCCATTCTACAACACCAGGCAACATCAGGCTTCCTCAGAAGGTGACTAAAATCATATTGTGTCTCCTGGCTCATCTTCTGGGCTTTACCACATATTAGGCTGATCTAACCCCAAGTTACCTTAGTTCTATCGGCCATATGAGGTGGATTCTTTATTTATTTATTTTTTTCCCTTTATGGAAACATTTCTTAGGGGGAAGTTGGGGGGAAATACGGTCCCTGCGGTTGGGACTGGTTAGTTAGTTTTTACCTCCAGCCTGGTTCTGTCCACGTCTCTTAGGATTTTGTTGCGCCCTCTGTTGGTCACCATCAGCATTTCATATGGAAAGATCTGAGAAGCAAAGAGAAACACCTCTTCCAGAACACTGCTGTCCATTTGATTAACAAGCAGAATCTCGCTAAAACCTAGTACTCCCAGGATACAGCTTCTAAGACACTATAATTAAGGTGTCTGAGTGATGGGTGTTCCTACCATATCCCGTGGACTGGGGCCAGTTCTTTTAACCTTTTCTCAGCTCACCATGTCTCATGGAGCCCTGTGTCTTTGGAAGGCTTTGTTGAGTGAAAGAATACAAACTTATTATGTCTTGAGGGTAAAGGTAAAAATTAGAAGTGAAATGGTAGGACATGGTTGATAGGGCCAGGGTACCGCTGCAGGGTTCAACAATCTTGTTCCATGACCGCCTCACGATTTCATGGAACCAAGCTGACCCGGAAGCAGCGTTCTCGTGGAGGACATTGAAATAAGCCCCAGTTACGGTCACTAGGGAGCACAGCCTTGGACACCTCTGGAGTTTCAGAATGGTCCGGAGCTTGGGTAACCAACCATCCCAGTTTGCCTGGGACTGAGGAAGTTCTGGAATGCTAGACTTCCCGTGCTAACAGTGGCAACATCCTAAACAAATGCAATGTCTTGGTTGCCCTATCTGGCATGGTCGGCCCCACTCAGCAGTGGGCATGCCTCGCGGTGCTGGTGGCAGGGGCCAAGCGAGTACTAAGCTCCTGAGAGGCAGGCTAGTGCTTTACTGTGAACACACAGTACCATGCCCTGTGAAGCCTTAAACCTGTTGACTCAGTGTGACAAAACCAGTGAGTGTCCAGGTACTTTCTGACATGGCTTGTTTGACCTATCAGCTTGGAAGCAAGTGGGCCTCAACACTGAGAATGGTAGAAAGAAAGAAAGCCAAATCTTTTCAGGATGATGCCTGGTTTGCTGACCCCATGTGAGAATAGAGAGATTGGCTGTACTTGCCTTTGGTTCCAACATGTTGGGCATGGACACCCCTCGATCCATTCTCGTCCCAGACATGTGGCCATCTGGGAGAGTCTGCAACAGAAAAGCTGGTTGAAAGGAGGAACACATGACACCACACGGAGCTGTCGGGGGGAACTCTGTGACCTCCCAACTCCCCGTTTGGGTCCCAAATCCTGTAGATGTGTCATCTTCATCATCATACATTTTTCAAAATGAGATCCCTACTACATAAAAGCAGGACTATTGGGAATACTGTTCTTCCATCATCAAGTTGGGGATAGCCCCTGGCCTACTACTGACTAATTCCTAATTTAGGATCCATGCATGAAAGCATACAGTCTATCAAAAAAGTGCCACGTCCGTGATTGTGTTCTTATTTTACTCTTCGTTTTCCTTGCATTTTTTTCCCCTTTTCTCGTTCTCCACCATAATTTTGTAAGGTTTAGGGTCCAGCAAAAAAGGAATGGTACCAGAACAGCTCTTTCCTTTTGACCAAGACAGCAGGACCACAGGAAGGAGGGGAGGACCGAAAGTACTGAGTGGTTATGACTAAAAGGCAATATTGTATTTGAGCAGACCTCTGATGTTGGTCCACTTCCACCCCAGAGAGGACTCTCCGAGGCCAGAGCAAGGTCCCCCCTGACACATGCCTGGTTCATGCCACACCCCCAAGGCCTACAGAGCCAGCCCGACACCCACACCAGGATGCCTGATCCTCATCACTCATCACATCGATGTACTAATGAACCAGACAGATCAACCCCAATAAGGATCTTCTCAACAGAAACCCTTCCGGGGAGCAGCCACCCGTGTCTGCATTGGGCAGTGGTTGTTTTGCTGGTGTGGCCAACTCGAGAGAGGCAGTGTTCCATACCTGGTAGTCTAGAAAGGAAAGAAAAAGAAAATATCAGAAGGATAAGATCATAGAAGAACATGGAAAAATCAATATACCATATATCCTACTGCAATTCCCCAGACATTTTCCAACGCACCACATTCCTCTCTCTGCGGGGGTCTCTGTACATACCACGTCCCTGCCCCCCAAAACCCAGGAAATGCCTCCTCCAGTTGCAGTGGTCAATTAAAATATCCTTTCCTCATGGAAGCTTTCCCTGACACACTGAAGGTATTTCTACCTTCTCCGATTCCGGCATGCATCATGGGAATCTTCTCTCCCCCCACCACAACCTGTCCCTGTCTCTCCGTCACGTGCATTTCTGACAGCCAGACCACAGCTTTCTTAGAGAGCATGGCAACACCACGTGTCTATCTCACGGAGTACTCAGCACGTGGCAGGAGCAATGCATTCATTCTTACACACCCTGCTTCTCACGGTCTCATTTCCGCAGAGATGCTTTGAGATTTTTTGCAGTTAATTAATTAATTAAAAGTCAATTAATTAGCTATAACGTATTGTTAGTTTCAGAAGCAGAGGTCAGTGATTCATCAGTCTTACCTAACACTCAGTGCTCGTTACATCATGTGCCCTCCTTAATTTCCACCACCCAGTGAGCCCATTCTCCCACTGTCCTCCCCTCCAGCGACCCTGTTTGTTTCCTATGATTAAGAGTCTCTTATGGTTTCTCTCGATTTCATCTTGTTTTAGTTTTTTCCTCCCTTCCCCGTGATCCTATTTTGTTTCTTAAATTCCACTTATCAGTGAGATCATATGATAACTATCTCTGACTTTTTTTGCTTAGCATAATACCCTCTAGTTCCATCCATATTGTTGCAAATGGCAAGATTTCATTTTTTTGAAGGCTGAGTACTACTTCATTGTATAGATTACACATCTTTAGCCATTCATCTGTCGATGGACATCTGGGCTCTTTTCATAGTCTGGCTATTGTGGACACTGCTGCTATAAACATTGGGGTGCAGATGCCCTTTCAGATCACTACATTCGTATCTTTGGGGTAAATACCCATAATGCAATTGCTGTGTCGTAGGGTAGCTCTATTTTCAACTTTTTGAGGAACCTCCATGCTATTTTCCAGAGTAGCTGCACCAGCTTGCATTCCCACCAACGGTGTAGGAGGGCTCCCCTTTCTCCACATCCTCGCCAACATCTGTCATTTCCTGACTTGTTAATTTTAGCCATTCTGACTGGCGTGAGGTGGTATCTCATTGTGGTTTTGATTTTTATGTCCCTGATGACAAGTGATGTTGAACATTTTATTGTGTGTCTGTTGACCATTTGTGTCTTCTTTGGAGAAATGCCTATGTCCTCTCCCCACTTCTTGATTGGATTATTTGTTCTCTGGGTGTTGAGTTTGTTAAGTTCTTTATAGATTTGCATACTAGCCCTGTATCTGATAAAACATTTGCAAATATCTTCTTCCATTCTGTCCGTTATCTTTTGGTTTTGTCGACTGTTTCCTTTGCTATGCCAAAGCTTCTGATCTTGATCAAATCCCAATAGTTCATTTTTGCATTTGTTTCCCTTGCCTCATAAGATGTATCTAGCAGGAAGCTGCTATGGCTGAGGTCACAGAGGTTGCTGTGTTCTCCTCTCGGATTTTGATGGATTCCAGTCTCACATTTAGGTCTTTCATCCATTTTAATTCTATTTTTGTGTGTGGTGTAAGAAAATGGTCCAGCTTCATTCTTCTGCATGTGGCTGTCCAATTTCCCCAACCCCATTTGTTGAAGAGACTGTCTTTTTCCATTGGATATTCTTTCCCGCTTTGTCGAAGTTTAGTTGACATAGTTCTTAGAGTTCAGGATCCATTTCTGGGTTGTCTGTTCTGCTCCACTGATCTATGTGTGTTTTTGGGCCCATACCATACTGTGTTGATGAGTGATTACAGTTTGTAATAGAGCCTGAAGTCTGGAATTGTAATGCCACCAGCTCTGCTTTTTTTTTTTTTTTTTAACATTCCTTTGGCTATTCAGGGTTTCTTCTGGTTCCATAGAAATGTTAGGATTGTTTCAGCTCTGTGAAAAAGGTTGATGATATTGTGATAGGGACTGCACTGAATGTACAGATTGCTCTAGGTAGCACAGACATCTTGACAATAGTTGTTCTTCTAGTCCATGAATTTGGAATGTTTTTCTATTTCTTTGTGTCTTCCTCAATATCTTTCATGAGTGTTTTATAGTTCTCTGACTCTTTGGTTAGGTTTATTTCTAGGTCTAATCTTATGGTTTTTGGTGCAATTGTAAATGGGATCGACTCCCTTAATTTCTCTTTCTTCTGTCTCCTTGTTAGTGTATAGCAATGCAACTGATTTTTGTGCATTGATTTATATCCTGAGACTTTGGTGAATTCCTGTATGAGTTCTAGCAATTTTGGGATGGAGTCTTTGGGTTTTCCACATACAATATCATGTCACCTGCAAAGAGTGAGAATTTGGCTTCTCTGCTGATTCAGATGCCTTTTATTTATTTATTTATTTCTGTTGTTATTGTCTGATCACTGAGGTGAGGCCTTCTAGCACTATGTTGAACATCAATGGTAAGAGTGGACATCCCTACCGTCTTCCTAACCTTAGGGGAATAGCTCTCAGTTTTTCCCCACTGAGAATGATACTTGCTGTGGGTTTTTCACAGATGGCTTTTATGATATTAAGGTATATTCCATCCCTACACTGTGAAGAGTGGATCAAGAAAGTGGATGTTGTACTTTGTCAAATGCTTTTTCAGCAACTATTGAGAAGATCATATAGTTCTTGTCCTTTCTTTTATTAGTGTAGCACACTGATTGATTTGTGGATGTTGAACCACCGTTGAAGCCCAGGAATAAATCCCACTTAGTCATGGTGAATAACCCTTTTAATGTACTGTTGGATCCAACTGGCAAGTATCTTGGTGAGAATATTTGCATCCGTGATCATTAGAGTTATTGGTCTGTAATTCTTTTTGGCAGGGTTTTTGTCTAGTTTGGGGATCAAGGTAATGCTGGCCTCACAGAGTTTGGAAGCTTTCCTTCTCTTTCTATTTTCTGAAACACCTTCAGAAGAATAGGTATTTAATTCTTAAATGTTCAGTAGACTTCCTCTGGGAAGCCATCCGGTCCTGGATTCTGGTTTGTTAGGTTTTTAATTACTGCTTCAATTTCCTTGCTGGTTACAGGTCTGTTCAGGTTTTCTATTTCTTCTTGCTTCGGTTTTGGTAGTTTACACATCTCTAAGAATGCATCCATTTCTTCCAAACTGTCGAACTTGTTGGCATATAGTTGCTAATATGTTCTTATAATTGTTTATATTTCTTCAGTGCTGGTTGTGATCTCTTCCTTCCATTCATGATTTTATTTTGGGGGGTCCTTTCTCTTTTGAGAAGTCTGGCCAGGGGTTTATCAATCTTATTAATTCTTTCAAAGAACCACCTCCTAGTTTCATTGATCTGTTCTTTTTTTTTTTGGTTTTTATTCTATTGATTTCTGCTATAATCTTTGTTAATTCTCTTCTCCTGCAGGATTTAGGCTTTATTTACTGTTCTTTCTCCAGCTCTCCCCAGTGTAAAGTTGGGTTGTATATTTGAGCCCCTGAGAAAGGCTTGTATGGCTATATACTTCCCTCTTAGGACTGGCTTTGCTGCATCCCAAAGGTTGTGTTTTCATTACATTTGATTCCATGAATTTTTAAAAATTCTTCTTTAATTTCCTAGTTGACCCATTCATTCTTTAGTAGGATGCTCTTTAACCTCCATGTATTTGAGTTCTTTCCAAATTTCATCTTGTGACTGAGTTCAAGTTTCAAAGCATTGTGGTCTGAAAATATGCAAGGAATGGTCCCAATCTTTTGATACCAGTTAAGACTTGACTTATGACCCAGTATGTGAACTCTTCTGGAGAATGTTTCATGAGCACTCAAAAACAATGTGTATTCTCTTGCTTTAGGATGGAATGCTCTGAATCTATCTGTGAGGTCCATCTGGTCCCGTGTGTCATTCAAAGCCCGTGTTTCCTTGTTGATCTTCAGCTTAGATGATCTATCCGTTGCAGTAAGGGGGGTGTTAAAGTCCCCTACTATTATTGTATTACTATCTATATGTTTCTTTAATTGTGTTATTAGTTGGTTTATGTAACTGGCTGCTGCCATGTTAGGGGCATACATATTTGTAATTGTTAGATCTTCTTATTGGACAGACCCTTTAGTTATGATATAGTGTCGTTCCTCATCTTTTATTATAGTCTTTGGTTTAAAATCTTATTTGTTTGATATAACGATTCCTACCTCAGTTTTCTTTTGATGTCCATTAGGATGATAAATGGTTTTCCACCCCCTTACTTTCGATCTTGAGGTGTCTTTGGGTTTAAAGTGAGTCTTCGGCAGACAGCATATTGACAGGTCTTGCTTTTTTCCCAGTCTGATATCCTGTGTCTTTTGATTGGGGCATTTTAGCCCTTTATATTCAGAGTAACTATTGAAAGTTACGAATTTAGTGCCATTGTACTACCTATAAAGTCACTGACTGGTTCTGTATATTATATAGTTCTTTCCTGGTCTATGTTACTTTGGGGCTTTCTCTTCACTTAAAGGATCCCCTTTAATATTTCTCACAGGGCTAGTTTAGTGATCACAAATTCTTTTAGTTTCTGTGTGTTCTGGAAGCTTTTTCTCTCTCCTATTTTGAATGACAGCCTTACCAGATGAAGTATTCTTGGCTGCATATTTTTCTCATTTAGCACCTTGAATATATCATGCCAGTCCTTTCTGGCCTGCCAGGTCTCTGTGTATAGGTCATCTGCCAGTCTAATGCTTCTACCCTTGTAGGTTAGGGACCTACTCTCCCTCACTGCTTCTAGGATTTTCTGTCTCTGAGATTTGCAAGTTTCACTGTTATATGTCAAGGTTTTGACCTATTTTTATTGATTTTGAGGGGGTTCTCCGTGCTCCCTGGACTTAAATACCTGCTTCCTTCAGATTAGGGAAGTTCTCTGCTATAATCTGCTCCAATATAAGAGAGCTCTCTTTTTCCTCTTCCACTCTCTCTTTCCTTTTCTTCTGAGATCCCAATTAACTTTTATATTGTTTCGCTTTATGGTTATCACTTATCTCTCGAATTCTTCCCTCATGATCCAGCAGTTACCTTTTTCTCAGCTTCTTTATTCTCCATCATTTTGTCTTTTAGATTACTAATTCTCTCCTTTGCCTCATTTATCCTAACAGAGCCTCCATTTTTTATTGCATCTCATTGATAGCCTTTTTGGTTTTGACTTGATTAGATTTTAGTTCTTTTATTTCTCCAGAAAGGGATTCTCTAGTGTCTTCCATGCTTTTTTCAAGACCATCCAGTATCTTTATAATCACTATTCTGAACTCTAGTTTGGATAGCTTACTTATATCCATACTGATTAGGTTCCTGGCAGTCAGTACTGCCTCTTGTTCTCTTCTCTGATGCAAGTTTTTCCATCTTGTCATTCTTGCAGAAAGTGGTCACTTTTCTATTTGTAGAGTTGCAGATATTATTTTCTTAGATATCAGGTTGACTTCTCAGGTTTTCAGAATGATTTGACAACTGTCTAGCTGAATTCCTGGGACCTGATGAAACTAAGGTCCCTTACTCCTCCATAATCTTGAACTATCTCCTGCTTTGCAATTTTAATACATGCTCCACTAGCTCCCAGAGGCTAGCTGTGATCTGGCTTTCGGATGACAGACAGCATGAACCCAGCCAATGTACACTTGACTGCGCAACCTCTTCTCAATGACTTGGCCAGTCATTCAGCAGCCCAGGCACACAGGTCTTACCTCGCACTCCCCCACTGATGTCCCCATAGCTGTTGTACTGAGCAAAGTCTGTGGAAACAGGCTGAAATGATAAAAACAAACAAACAAACAAACAAACAACAACAACAACAAAACACACCATTAGACAATCTGCTCCAGAACCATGGTTTTGGAGTCAGGTGTAAAGGAAGAAAGGATTTACAAAATCCTCAGAATTCTTCCCAAGCTGAATTCCTGGACCTTCGTTATTTGTCTTCTACTATTACAAAATCTCTTTGTCTTTTGCAGGGCATCCAATGCCAGCAGGTGCTGGGTAAGCAAGTTATCTTTTGCCAATAAATGAAAATACATTGCTCCATGCAGCTAGCTATACAACTGCATTTGTTCTATGCTTTTTGGGGAGGGCAATAGCAACAAACTTTCCCATATCCTTTTGTAACAGAGATAAGGGCTCAAGTCATTACTTGTAGCTTGACTGTGGAAATATTTGCCACACAATTAATTAATATAGTCTTCCCACCAGCTTATACAGGCTATTCTCTCACCTAAAGTCAATTTCTCTTTCTCTCAATAGAAGTATGTTATTTTGCCTGTAACTTTAAGGGACTTGCCAGGAGATCAGGGGAATTACAATTTTTATTATATTGTAATACTGAGATCATATTATCAGACATAGTCAGACAGTCTATTAGCACTTCAACCAGGACTGAAGAGGGAATTAACTCAGGAACAATTAATTTAGAAATCTTACCCGGTGAAGCCCATTTTTTCCATAGCCTGGGAGAGATGAGGTTTTAGATGATAGAACATGTGAAGCTGAATGAGAAAAGGTAAAAAAAAGGAAATCAGAAGTCCAATTCTTAAAGTAATTTATTATTTATTATTATTATTTTTTGAAGTAAACTCTACTCCCAATGTGGGGCTCAAACTCATGACCCCAAGATCAAGAGCTGCATACTCTACCAACTGAGCCAACCAGGTGTCCCCAGAAGCCCAATTCTCTTATGAAAGTGGCAATGCATCTTCTACCTTACTGAGTAGAAGATACACAGAAAAAGAGAACAAAAAAAAAAAAATAACTGAAATAATACTGGGCTCTAATGCTCATGAAAGGCCACCACATTTGGGTGATGCAGGGAGTGGATGGAGCAGGAAGAGATGCTTGGTTCTGCTTTACCTCCAAATCCTCAATACAACCCCAACAGCACTATCATATTACTTCCATTATAGGAGAAGAAATAGGGGCTAACCTTGACCTTGTCCAAGGTCGCTCGCTCACCTTATAAACAGCTAAGCAATGATTGGAACCCAGGGCCATCTGGATGCATGAGCTCATGCCCCAGTTGGTATGGTGACGGTAACTGACCTGAAAGCCACCATGTTATGTTGTCATGCTCTCCTGGCTCACCACAGCTGAGTTCCCGAGAGGCAGGGATAGGATATCGCATTAATCAACAGCATGACATTACATCAACTGTGGAGCTTTGCAGGGAGCAGACCTGAGCTTGGATTCTGGCTCTGCAACTTAACACCTCAGTGTGGTATTTCATCTTTTCAAGTCTTTGTTTCTCGACTCATGTAGATACTGTGCTATGTATTCTTACAGAATAGAACTACAGGATCAGAAGGAACTCTGAAGATTAGTAAACCACCAAATTGAGATCGAGGCCAGTGAAGCATCAAGGAGAGGTAGCAGGGCATTCCAGTTCAGAATGTGGGCTCTGGGGTTACAATGCTTGGACTACAGAATCCTAGTTTTGCTAGTTATTAATAATGGGACATTGGGTAAGTTCCTTAAACATCCTATACCTGTCACCTGTTCTACAAAATGGGAAGAATAATATCACCTACTTCATTGGCATGTTGTGAAAATAAATGGAACAATGTCTAACAAAAGTGCTTGCATGTAGGAAACACTAAACACATTTTTAAAGAAGCTTCAATGTTCAAGGGGTGGCTCAGTTGGTTAAACGTCTACCTTCGGCTCAGGTCATGATCCCAGGATCCTGAGATTGAGCCCCACATAGGGGCTCCCTCCTCAGCAGGGAGTCTGCTTTTCCCTCTCCCTCCGCTTATTCTCTCTTATGAACCCTCTCAAATTGTTTTAAGGTCTCTTCAGCAAAACTGAGTTCCGAGCCAAAAATCATAGTTCTTCTCTAACAGAAATAAGGCAATAGGAATTGAAGGGGCATGGACTTAGAAAGCCTGAGACCCTTTCCAGGGTAAGATACTACCACTGGTTTCTTCGGCATGTGTGGATGTCTTCTTTTCCCAGCAGAGAGTGTAAACACCATAAAGACAGAAAATCCTGATCATGTACCTTCCTTCCTTGCCAAATCTAGACCTCTCAATGATTGAGCATTTTTTTAATGTTTACTTTTAATTTTATATATATGTGTGACTGTGTGTGTGTATGTTCCATATATTACAGATATAGAGATACACCCATATCTCCAAATGCCCCAAAGCATTCTGTTCTCTGTAAGAATTTCCTTCTGCTGATTCCCTCTAAGATGACTATCTTGAATTGACCACCTTGACAAAATCCTCCAAGGATGGGGCACCTGGGTGGCTCAGTCGGTCAAGCATCTGCCGTCAGCTCTGGTCCTGATTTCAAGGTGCTGGGATCAAGCCCCATGTAGTACTTGCTGCTCAGTGGGGAATATGCTTTTCCCTCTTTGTGCTCTTTCTCTCTCACTCTCAAGTAAGTAAATAAAATCTTAAAAAAAAAAAAAGAAAAAGAAAAATCCTCCAAGGGTTCCCCCATCTCCAACATGAAGGAAACATACACTTAAGGAAGAAGAATGGCATGGTTTTTTAAAAAAGCTTCTTATTTGAGAGAGAGAGAGAGAGAGAGAGAGAACAAGTCAGGGGGAGGGGCAGAGGAAGAAGCAGACTCCCTGCTGAGCAGAAAGTCCTACATGGGGCTCGATCCCAGGACCCCAGGATTGTGACCAGAGCCAAAGGCAGACGCTTAACTGAGTAAGCCACCCAGGCGCTCCGAACTATGGCACCCTCATAAGCTAAACTGACATGCAGTACATTTCCCATACTTCTGCTCATGTAGAACACTCTGCAGGTTCCACCAGGAATGGCCCCGCCTCTCCTGGAACAGTCCAGATGGGCTCCGTGCAGGCAGGTGGCTGGCTCTTGGCTGGGAGAAGGAAGTGGGCCTGCTGCTCACCTGAATTGAGGGGAGAGTCATAGCGACTGGCGGTCAGGGACGACCTCTCCCGGCTCTCCTTTTCCATCTCCTCTTTCAGTATCAACTGCCCTAGGCCCGAGTTGAGCTACCGCAAAAAAAGGAAAGTGAGAGTGAAGCCCACAATTATCGTCAGAATGGCAGTTTCTGTTTTAGAAGGTCCTGCAAGAAATTCCTGACCGTGGAGTGGCCTGGACACACACAGTGCCAGAGCCTGGTGGTTCCTCAAGGGACAGGCCAGGTTTTGGACCTTGAACCCCTCTCAGACAAGCAGGGGACAAGCTCCATGTCTGAAGACTGTTCTCCCCGCTTTGCCCTCCCCAATGTGCCAGCAGGAGACCTCAGGAGGCAGGTGTGGCTGTGTGGCGATTTTTGATGTGCAAAGGGGAGTTTGCGGACAGTATCCTTTAAAAACAGATTTCACTGAATTGTTTAAAAACAAGAAAACAAGAGTAACATAAACTTACTGCACAGATTTTAGGAAATCTAGAAGGAAAGAAGGGTAACCCATAATCCACCCCTCAGAGATAACCACCATTTACATTTCATTTATATCCATCCAGCATTTTTCTATGCACATATCATACATTACTGTGATCATGCTATAAATGCAATTTTGTATCCTCTCCCTCCATATAAGTGGTATCATGCGCATTTCCCATATGATTAAGTATCTTTGGAAAATGTCAAGGGACATGAAGGGACTCATCAGTCTCTGATTGCTGGGACAGTATACAATGTCTTGGCTCCCTCTACCCCAGGCTCTAACGGACTATCCTTCTTTTGGTCTTCCGGGATGCTGTGGGGGTGTATAACGAGGACGTCCTGATGGCAGTCCATTTTATCCCCTCCCTCCTAGCCCAGACAGACATACAAGGACCTTCAAGTCCTGGGACAAGCCCTGGAGAAACACTCAACCCCAAGGGAATTCCTTCAGCAGAGCCTGCAAGGAGGAATGCAGGTGTCGTAACACGTGGCCGAACGGCATGGCTTCACCCAGCCCTTTCGACACATGCCCTGCACGCCCACACCCCCATGTGGTCTGGCTCTCCTCGCAGAAGCTCGAGTGTTTCTGGAACCCACTCAGTACTGAGTACCCTGCCTTCGGGTCACTAGAATCCTGTCTCCTCTCGCCTACTGGATTTCCAGCCCTTCGAGGGCTGGGATGGCCTCTCCTTCCCTCGGCGGCTCAGCCTCGGTGTCCATTCAAAAAACTCCCCATCTAGGGAACTGAACTGAAGACCGCGGCAAAGGAGCTGAAGGACAAACCTTCATTAGCTGCTCTTCCTGCAGCTGCCGTCGCCTCAGCAGCTCCTCCTCGTCGTCTTCTCTGCTGCCAGATCTGCGTCTCGCGTCGGCTCCTAATTCCACAGCAGAGACAACTTCTCACATCAGCCCCACAGCAAGGGGACCTTAAGGGACTAGTCCACCTGCGCTCAACTTATCCACGGTAACATCGGCAGGGGTCTTTAACGTTCATGAGCCCATGACGCAAGAAGAGCCCACCGCCAATGCAGCCCTGCTGGTGGGTTTTGGGTTTCAGGCAAGTTCGATGTGGGATCCAGTAAGTCGTGAATTTTGGCCTCCTAACAACTGACCTGTTCAGTTAGGACACTGTGTGCCATTATGATTGAGTCTAAGTCATCCCACTGGCCGCTGGCCAGAGCCCTCTGTAGTAGTGGGGAGGGGGATCCAGACTTATTCTTTGGATGACCCCGAGGTCAGCTTTCAAACAGGGAGGAACCCAAATTCATGTCCATGACCATTAAACAGGTAAGACAGTCACTCTCTCATGACATGTTTTGTAATCTTCTAGTTTTCTCTTTTTCTGAATATTTAGACTTGTCCTTATAACGATCACCCTGTCTTCTGTCCTTAATAAATTTGTTAAGAACCATGCTTTTATTTTTCTTTTAAGAGGTGAGTCTCAAATGTTTCGCTCCCTCAATCCTTTGAAAAAAATGGTCACAAACGAGTTTTATACTAATGGGTCAATGAATCGTGTTAAGACAGCTAAAAAAGTGAGCTATTTTAGTCCAATCTAGCAGATCATTTACAATTTTTAAGCTTCTTGGAAAAGGGGAGTGAGGGAGTAAGAGGGAGATATCTGTCTGAATGGTTGTAAAATTAAGATAATTATTGTTTTTCCTAAATTGCTTGGATTAATCTGGCTGTGGGAGAAAACAGGAAAGCTTGCTAATCTAATCAAAATAAACTTGAACTAATGGTCTCAGTTTTTATCATTTTAATTAATGGGCCAGAATTTTTCTTCATTTTGGAACCCAAAAAGCTTTAAACTAGTTAGTGATGATGATTTTAAGAACAAAATATTAATTCTTCCTTTCCTCTAAATTTAGCTGTTTACATCCCCATGAAGCAGCAAGACTGAACTAGGAACCCCAAAGGCCCCAGGAACTGCCTGTGGGACAGAGTCTGGCCGAGAAAAGCTGATGACTGATTCTTAGTTCTTAAAATCATAAATGTCACTGTGAACGCTCACTCTTCAATCTCTACTAATAAAAACTAGAAGACACAAGTTTATAAGAATCAGTTTCAAGTCAACATGATATATAGAGTACTTGCAAATCATAAACCCAGGGAGGTAAATTTTTCCTTCAAGTATTTCTACATAGATTGCTTTAACATCCACCTACATGTCTGTAAAAGTTGTTCCAGAAAATAACTTGTTGAGAAAAAGCATGATGAAGAAAATTTGGAAATTTGGAAAATTGAAGGCCTTTTTTCAAAGGTTGTCAACAGAAATGTGATGACAGTTGTATCTTTGTAAAGCTGACTCACTCAATTTTCAGTATTAGCTTCTGAGTTTGCTAATAGCACTTTTTAGGCCAAACGATTTCACAACTGACAAAACAGTAAAAACACTGACACAGTTCTAAAGCATAGATCTGTGGTTCAACGCAATGAATGAAACAGCTCAAATGTGACGTTTTAGCACAGACTTCATGGAAATGATAGATGGAAGATCACATAACTACACTAGTAGAATTTTAGAACATCCACGACTCTGCGTCAGCCCTTCTTAGTGATGGAGAACGTGATCTTGCAAGAAAGGTGCGAGGGCTTCTGTGTTAAGACTGGTTGTTAAGAGAATTGAAATTATAACCCAGAAATAGTCTAAAACAAGTTTAACTGAAAGAAGTCACGCCTCTGTGGACACTCAGTAAATCTGCCCACCAGACTAATTAGACAGGACGGTGTTCTTGGCAGGAGGCTTTGGTTCCACTGTTTCAAGAGTTACTGATTTTGCAGTAGTAACTCTTGAGGTCCATGCCAATCATCTGTTTTAGACCAGTTATGTCTGCCTCTCAGTGGCTTGGTTAGTGCAAGGCTTTGGTGATTGGGTTTTTGTAATTTTGAAGTGTTTTGCACACACGTGAACACTACCTCAGTGCTTTTCTCTACCTCTCGTCCTATTTTCTTAAAAAATCTTTACAATAGGACATATTTTCTCGTGTATTTTGAAGCATTTCATTTGCAATCTCCTACCAATTTGTCCATGGGGCTTAGCTGTCGCAGTTGCATACCTACGGCGGCAAGTGAGGGGGGACCGGGCCAGTGGTCCGTCTCAATCTTTGGTATCTCGCTGGGGTCTGGAGCCTGGGCTGCTGGGAACTTGGAAAACTTGATGATATCTTCTGAAGACTTGCTCTGGGCTGCTAAGGCAGCTGCATCTAGGTGGGAATCAGGGGGAGCTTAGCTATTGGTCTGCAAGGCCACGGTGGTACAACCCACTTACACAGTTTTCTTGTTTTCTGGCAAAAGTTTCAGCTCTAGAAAGCTGTTTATGACCAGTATGAATTGCCCAGCCACTCGGGAAGGCCTAGTGCCAACTCATTTTCCTTATGTTCTGCTGGAAGCAAAACTTCATTCGACATCTAAAACACCTTGTTCTGGAGCTGGGCTGTCCAATACCAGCTCTAGCAACATGTGGCTACTTAAATTTCAATTAATAAAATTAAATGAAACCAACAAATGAATAAAATTAAAATTCCCTTCCTCAGCTGCAGTAGCTGCATTTTAAGTGCTCAGTAGCCACCTGTGACTCGTGGCTATCATACTGGAAGCACAATGGTAGACCATTTCCATCATCACAGAAAGTTCCATCAGGTAATACTCTTCGAGAGTAATTAGAAATCTGAATTAGCAATCTGAAATTAAAGAACTAAGTTAAAAACATGACACTGTCATTTGACTGACAGGGCTGGCTTTGTCTCTTAGGGTATTTTTGTCTGTTCATTTTAACTAACATCTGTCCAGTTCACTCTAATCCTCACGTATTATACATGTGTCTTGAGTCCTAGGAGAAATGGCAATGGGAAAGTCTGCTCTCAGCTTGTAGGAATTCAACATGGCGCCTTACGTATGCAGAACACTCCTTGTTTTTCTCAAGGGTCTGCACATACAAGTGAGTCATCCAACTTTAAAACAACAAAAGCCAGACTAGCAAGGGCCTTAGTTCAGAGGGTTCTTAATGACTCTGCTTAGAGGAGGAGTCCCTGGCTGAGAGCTCCAAATCTAATCACAGAGCTGGAACACAACAAACCAGGTTTAATGGTCAGACCCTGATTCTGGCTAATCTGGCAGACTGGCCTGGGATGTTGCTAAACATTTCAAGTAGAGTTAGAATGCTTTAAATAAAACCTCCCCCCCCTCTCGGGGCTAACGTATTTTAAAATCTGGAAATAATTTTTCTGAATCCTCAGCTCAAACTGCCCACTCTTGGAGGAACCTTCTGGGTCTCGTTTTCCTGGAACAACTTGACCAAGGTCACCCTATAGACTTGTCAGGGACGAAGTCTTGGCCAAGCATGGGGTAGTGTTTCTCTGACTCTTTAGCCCCATGAAAAAAAGAATTAAAAATTCAGCCTTGAAAACACTGTAGAGGAACATCTTCTTAAAGAGGGACAACATGCGTTAGCATATTAAAGACGGAGCTGTTCTGCATTACCAAAAAAAAAAAAAAAAAAAAAAAAGCGTGACTTTATTTAAATCTAGCATTTTCCAAATGCAGTTTTTACTGCGCCCTCTAGTTCTATCCCCTGGAAATGCTCTTTTGAACACTGTCCTTTGGGAAGGCACTCTGACTGAGCCATTCTCAATGATAACAAAGAGTCAGAGTCAAGTCAGAGTACATTTCAGGGAAAAAAAAAAAACAGTCTCTTTCAAATAAATAAGCTAACACCATCTACTCTTTTTAAATCTTAATTATTTGATTATGTTTGTTGAGAGAGGCAGGGCCTTAGAGATTTTAGTAATAAAAACAGTTTCTACATTGATATGCCAAACTTTTGGAGTCTCATTCCTAAATTTAGAAAAAAAGAAAAGCATGACTTCAAACAGTACTTACGCATTAGAATTGGTGAAGTCAGTAAACATTCACATGTTAATGAGTGGGTGAGAAGACATTAAACCATAAAAAAACAAACAAAAACAATGTTAACAAACTTAAAAAAGCAAGCACATGGTGTAAAATCCTTAAAAAAAAAGACGAGAAAAAAAAATCACAGTTCTAGAGTCATTACCATATGTACATCGTCCTTTTCTCCCCCTAAAATGTTGGCCTAAATTTTTTTCCTTGTACATTTTCAACTTTCTTTGCTTTACATGTCATCCTAATCCTTAAGGACTCATTAACGTCTACTAGATTTTTTAAAGGCAGCCTTCAAATTTCCAGGCACATTTTGTGTATAATTTTCTGAAATCACCTGAAGACCAGTGTTGGCTTTCTCTCCCTTCACAAAGATCTACGGCACCTCATCTATAGAGACCTAATAATGCTGGGGGGGAAACGTGAGTTACTTATGGTAATGTGAATTCCTGGGTTTAAAAATTCTTATTTCCAGAAAAGGAAAGCACAATTATAAATCCACGTTAGGGATTTCAGTTTGCAGGAATTTCAGAGACAAGCTGGCCTAACTCACTAGTTGCTGCCTATAAGAAATTACTGAGGGACAGAGAAATTGTGTCCGTGATATCACAGAACCATTGAGGGTAAGGGCTGGGATCAGGGCTGGGACCAGATTAGGTCCCTGGTCTTGGAGTGTGTCCTGTCCATTGTACCGCAAGGCGCAGACATCTGCATGCCCGTTAAGAAACTGGGGAACTAGAGAGTCAAGCTGATGTTGGCTTAGTCCAGTTAATTTTTCTAGGTAGCTGGCCTTCACTATTTTAATTAAATTAATTAGAAGCTCATCCAAATTATTATAGAGCCTGGATTATATTATCTGATGGCAAAGAAAAAAAAAGTGTTTGTGAATTACTGGGAACTTCCTAACCAAGCTAAGCGTTCTCTTTCTAAGAAAACCAATCTCACAGTGATTGCATCTTAGGAACCCATAAAAGCATAATATGCTAGGCGCCCCAGTTTGATTCTCAAAAGCAGCAGCAGAGAAGCCCTTCAGAGGACAGCAGAGCTCAGTGGGCGCCCCTACTTAAAAGCTATGCAGAGGAAAGCGGGTTTTACCATGCTGTTTGTAGATGGGTGGTTTTCGGTAAATGTTGATCCCTTGATCTGTGGAAATGAAAAGCAAAGGTGTGTAATTATGGGAACCCGTTCAGCGATGGGAAAAACAGATCAACCAAGAGGGAGGCAAACCAAACCGAAGACTCTTGAACAAAAACAACCCCGAGGGTTAACTTTTGTATTACAAAGACCGAAGTCACTGGAAGAAGCTCCAGGGATGAGTGAATTACTACAGACAAGTGATATGGAATCCTTTGTAATACATCTTAGGATATATAGAGACGTAACTAATTCACGAGCCATTTATTGCAAATACGCACTTTACTAAAAGTGGGATTAAAACAGGAAGAAATGGAAGCAGTGGAGGGACTCCAGTGGTGAGGAAGACATAACCAGTTTGGGGAAGGTCCCCAAATAGCTACTGTCTAGAAATTGAGCTCCAAGTGGATACCAGGGGCTCAATTTACTTTTCAACTAATGAGTGGAACAGTGGAAAGCAATGTAATACAATTAAGAGTAGTTTTTTAAAACACAGAAACAGTTTTATGTGCAAGGCTAGTCTGATGCGCTGACAGAATGTTTGAGAGAATCCTAACTAATATAGGTCAAATTTTTTAAAAAGAGAAAGGAAAAGAGATGCCAAATATTATTCGTTTATTTATATAGGACCCCATCTGATAATGCTACAGTTTCGCTTTGACTGCAAATACTCAGGAAATTTCAAAAGGTCTGTTTCCCCCCAATCTTGGGCACTGTATCTTGGTGGGGGCATTCTTCATGCACAAAAGTTGCAAATGTACAACAACTGATTTTCAAGGTTCAGTGAAGCTTTATTTTAAAAGGCAGTTCTATCTTAGCAGTATGAATCTCACTGAACTTTCCTCTGTTTTATGAGGTTAAGCCTGGAATGCAAAAGAAAAAAAAAACTCTTACAGATTCCAAATATGTGTCCTAATATTAACATAATGGGTAATTTATTAAACCATTTTCAGTAGCTTAGAAGAAAACAATGTACTTCTGATGGGAAAAAAAAAATCATGACCTCTGATGTCCAATCTTGCCCTTAAAAATTGAGTTGACCCTAAACATTAAGATACTGTTGGGTTCTGAGTTTTCCAGATCTTGGTGGCAAATTACTATTTGTACCATGACAGCAAATGCTTATGACTTCAGCAAAGCTTACAGCACCAAGCCTAAATTGCAAGATATCTTTGTGGGCTAAGAAGGTAGTCAGTTGGTTATGAACTACAAAGGACCAACCAAATGATCCAATTTTATACCTCTCTGAAAAGTTCACAGAAATAATCTCCCCACGGGAGACAAACAGGAAGAAATAAAAGCACTCTTGAGTGAAGCTGTGGTTCATTCTCGAGGATGGGACGGTAACTAGAATGCCACTGTGACAATTAGGCAATGACACCACACCACAGAGCGGTATCTTCGAAGGGCACTCATTAAAATCTCCGTAAATTTAAATTAAAATCTCAGTAAAAACAAAACAAGGCAACTCAACCCTCCTTCCTTCACTCTCTGCTTCCCCCCTCCCTTCAAAAAATTTTGAGAAAACTTAAACCTTCCATACAATCCTTGGCATTTCACATCCCAAACTTCTGAGAGGCCTTCTGGGTCAGATCGTGCAATTTAGGGTTTGTCAACCATGTGCATCCCGATGAAGACAGCGTGAGGAATGAGACGAGACAGGTAACAGTGCTACATTCTACACCGTGACAGGACACCCAGACAAAGACTGTGTCAGCTCCTACCTGGAACATGGAAATGTTTAGGGGCCTGAGCATAGGTTGGAGTGAGAGGACGACTGTCTGGCCGGTAAGGGAGAGGGGAGTTCCGGCCGCTGGACGGCTCATTGCCTCCAATGAGAAGAATGGAAAAAACAAAATAAGAGAAGGGACAGCAATAAAGAAAACAAAGCAAGCATAATAAAAATTCGAAACAAACCGGAAGGAGGTACATCCAAAAGGAGAAACAGAGGAAACAAACTCAATTTATCCATTTGGCTCACAGGGTGATAGAAGGTTTAGTTTTCCGCAAGAGAGACTTGAGTTCACATGGAACTGGGTTAGAAGCAGCTAGCGGTAGGATGCGTCATTCCAATGGCATGCGGTTGAAGGCCGTGAGCTAGCAGCAAACTGATTAGATGGAAAGTACATTAAGAGTCATGGAAGGTCACTTGGTAATGATTCAGGATCAGCTGTCAGACCATTAAGTCCCAAGCATGTGAAGGGGCGGGATACGCAAGCCCAATTACAGTCACTTCCAGGCACGACGGCAGAGGCTGGCCATTGGAATGGATTTCTCTGAATGGAAGGCTACGTGTATCTGGGACCCTGAGTGGTCACCCAGTCCCTCCCCTTAGCAATGCAAAGTGCCTGCACTCGCAGCAAATGCTTCTGTTTCCTCACTGTGCAATACACACCACCGAGTCAGAGCCCTTCCTCCCAGGGACTCTGCGACCTCTTACTCCTCTCTCCACCTGCCTCTTCCAAGGCTTCTCTGAGGCTCCACCCAGTCCAACAATTTCATCTGTGAAACAGGTCTGGACACCTACCATGGCTGGGCACTGAGCTATGACTGAGGACATGGAGATGAATGATAAGTCATCCCTGCCTGTGGGCGGGGGGCGAGTCTCAGAAGCTACCTAAGGAGACAGACTACGACACGGACATGCTTGCTCAGGCGAGGGTGCCATCAATTTGTGCACAGAGCTAAGATGTTAGACTGAGCGGGGTGTCAAGGAGTAAGTATACCAGGTGGGAGGGTGGGCCGAGGGGTAAGCAGGCCTAGAAGGGCCATGGTGTCCGAGCCACTGTGGCTGGACAGCAGGGTCTTCTTGGAGGAGAGAATAGGGAAGGGGCTAGAAAGGCTAGCTGGCATTGGCTGCAAAGCCTTGAGTTCCGCCAAGGCCAATTATCACCCCTTACGGCCAGGATGAACTAAGGCTTGCCTTGGGCTATCAAAGGTCAGCTATTGCCCTAAACTGTCCTCCTACCCCATGTCTGAGAAAACATCTGCCCCAAGAATACACCAGAAGGTGCAGGGAACTATCAGAAGTTAACGAACTATAATGAAATTACTTTTGTTCCTGAGTTAGAAGACTTCTTTATATATTCTGGATGCAAGTCCCTTTTCGGATAGACGACTTGCAAACGTTTCCTCTCGTTCTGTGGGTTGTCTTTCACTATCTTGATAGTGCTCTCTGAAGCACAGAAGTTGTGAGTTTTCACAGTGTAATTTATCAACTAAAGCTAATGATACGAAACAAACCACAGATCTTCAGAAAACAGAGCACAAGTTGATTTCTTCAAGTAAGCCAAGTTGCTCTAAACATGCCCCACAAAGTAGAAAAGATATCCATTGCTGGAGCTTTAAAATAACGTGCTTTCTGTAATTCTAATTCCTCAATGTGTATTTTTCGGTAACCGGAGCACACATCTGTCCTGAATGGGCAGCAAGACCTTCCGAATGAGATTGGAATTTGTTTCTGGCTTCAGGTTAGATTCCCCGTTTTCAGTTATCATGTTCTGAAGCTTTTCTCTTTTTTCCCACAAGAGTCAGTTTCACGTTTAGCTCCCAATACATTATAACGTAGACTTTACTATTTAAATCAGGTATTAGCTTCTAAAAATTATGACGCTTCATCCCAAACTGCCCATCTATTCAAAGGTTAATTTTTTAAAAAGTCATTTCATTTATTATCACTCTTCTAATGAGAAATAACTAGCTCACATCCGAAAAAAATGAAAAGACACAGGTAGAGGCAAGCAGGGGAAGGAAGAATGTGGCTTACATGCAGAAGTCGGTCCTGTTTTAAATCTTTGGCTGGATTAGAACTAGGTCCCATTCATCTCTCTGTGCTCAGCACAGTGCCTGGCCTTATAAATGCCTGGCAACGAGTGACTGAAGTAGCCCACTCATGAATTCTTGAGCTATTAACAGCTGAATTTAGTAAGCACCACTGTAGGACCAACCTCCACCTTGCTCCTGGATAAAGGCAGCAGATGCCTGTATTGAGGAACAGGGTCATAATAACATCCTTTTATAACTTTCCCACTAGATCCTCGATAACCCCTACTTAACTATTTCACTCCAGAGGAATTCTTTACTCCTGTAAACATCAGAACTTATGAGAGCAATTCATAATTGAAAAACAGAATACTTCTGGGGGGCTGTTCTCAAAAGAAGGTCTAGAAAGGTAGCTTTCTGCATATCCTCAACACTGGCTGCTCCTGCTTCGGAACCACACTGCTCTCTGGCCTTCCACTCTACCCTTCCTTCCCGGGAAGAAGACATCAGACATCTCAGGGAAATGTTCTCACGGGTTTTGGTGATAATATCCAATCGGATGAAACTCCATTAAATTTGGTCTGATCATTATTAGCCTGTGGTTTGCATACGCAAAAGTGTCTGCATAGATGGGACGCAAAGGTTTAAGGTGAGCCTTTGCCCAAGTATTAAAAATCTATCATGGAGATGGTCTGCTGGCAAGGGGCAGGAGGAGCCCACCACTTCTTAGGGCAGATGATTCTCAAAGACTGGGGAGTAACTGTCTGGACTCCCAATGGGTGAATTTCGGCTGAATGCTGTCTCTTGTTGGGCGTAGTTCTTTATTCGGCTGCATATTCAGCAACCATTGGCCTTTCTAGTTGCTTAAAAACACACACACAACCTCACTACCATGTTCAAGTCCTTATAAATAGATTTAATGCTAGAATCAATTAAAACCTCCCACAAACATTTTAAAGCACTAGGCAAAGAGAGACTCAACAACGCACCCATCTAAGGGACTCTGAACAATATGACTTCCGCTCGTCTCACTGGGAACAAGTCTCAAGAATACTGTTGCTAGGTATCAAATTCTTAGCCCCTGAAACACCAAAAGCATTAAGTATCTTTGGCATTTTTTTTTTTTTTAAAGTAGGCTCCACGACCAGTGTGGAGCCCAACATGGGGTTTGAACTCATGACCCTGAGATCAAGAACCTGGGCTGAAATCAACAGTTGGACACTTAACCAACTGAGCCACCCAGGTCCCATTTTTTGGCATTTTCAAAGAAAAAGAAAAATTCTCAAGGTAAGTCCTCTTTCCTCTTTCTAACTTGAAAACCCCTATCTATTCTAGAAGGAAGTAACTGAGGAGGGCCCGGAAATATTATTTTTATGCCTAGTGCATTACTTAGGCAAAGTAATACATATGGTGTCACAGGAAAAGACCATACACGGAAGATACTGCCATCATCATCATCATCATCATCATCATCATCAGCCTGGAGATGCAGACACTGTTTAAAAATAACATAATAGTGTGTATGTCATAGAATATTGTACCTATCACATTCAAAGCCATTTTGTTCCTTAAGTAAGTCCTTCCTTTTACTGGCTGACTCTCAGTTGTCAGTGATCTTAGCTACTGAGATGAGAAGCTACTGCATACAAATATTTCTTAGCCTTCACCGTGAGCTCCTTCCACATCAGCTTTATAAGCTGATTTTTTCGTCTGGGAGATAAGTCACTTACTTAACAAATTCGAATGCTCTGTTCTTGTTTTCAATCTTCTTTTTGGTACCCTGAGAGCCCAAGTGACAAATCCTGAGACAAGTAAATCAAAATGGCTGTGCATGTGTCTGCTGGGGGCACCTGCTGGAGTGTTGCCTGGTTTTCTGGATGCTAAGTACTCATGTTCCAAAATATAAATGAGTATTTTGAGGGGATCTTAAAGTTGGCAGCCTCTAGAATTTCATGACAGAGTTTCAGGATTGTTGGTTTTTGTCTCAAGTTTCAACAAGCATTATAGTTTTCTTCAGCAAGTGTCAAATATTTGGATCAGAGAAAACCATTTCTACGGCAGAACAGCAAAGATTCCTTTCAAAGAGACTTAATATAGGTAGCCCTCCGGGTCACACATCTGTTTTCTACCTCGTGGACACAGAACATAACGTCTAACAGTATTTCCAAGGGGAGGGAAGAAAAGTATTTGTTCACGTGGCCCAGCAACGACATACCAACATCGAATGAGGCTGCAGGAGAGTCTAGGGAACAGAAATAAAAACACAGCGGGAAACAAGATGGACATTCTAGAACGTGGTTGGAGAAGCCAGTGGAAGAGAGAGACAGCCTGTGATGGGCATCTTAGCTTTACACGCATGCAGCATCCTCAGCTCCACGAACCCTGGGGGAACGTTCCAGACCCATGTGTCACAAAAGGACGAGGAGGTGGACTTGGGAAATGGCGGGGTGCGGGTGGGGCTGCACTTCCAGTTGCCACAGTGGCAACGGGGCCCCCTGCTTCTAGCTACACATTCCTGAGGAGGACATACATCCTGCCCTGGCATCCTCGTTTGTCTTAAGAATAACCACCTCAAGACTGTTAAGACGAACTGTAAGATAAAACGTGAATGTTTAAATGAAGGGCCTTGGTGGACTTGGCTGTACTCTGAAGACACCTTAGAGGTAGTTCTCCAAAGGCCATAAATGTCCTCCATGTTGAAATTTCCAAGTGCTGGAGAGGTCTTCCATGGAAATGGACCCAGGTTTTTTTTGGAATAACTAAAAAGTAATTCCTTGAAGAATGAGCTTTTACTTATCCAACTATATTAGGCTTTTAAAGCAACATCTTTACTATAAAATTCTTCATGATTTATTTTGTAGTTTAGCAAAAAGTACATCTGATTTTAAAACTAGGCATATACCCTTATGTACATTACATTTTGTATCTGATATATTTAAACTATTTTATAGGAATGAACTATAGCCATATGGGAGAGAAATCATTAGGTATTTCTTAAGTGTGAGCTCAAGGTCAAGCTAATCCCTCCTGGCCTAGTGGTCTCTACAATTTAAAATCACAGTATTTGTGTCAAAAAGTTCAAACTCAGTCCAAAGACAGAAAACGATGTACCTCTGACCCTTGAATGACATGGGTTTGAATAATATGGGTCCATTTATACATGGGTATTTTTTGGTAAACGGAATAGTGCTATTTTCCTCTTGATTTTCTTAGTAACATTTTCTTTTTTCTAGCTTACTTTATTGTAAGAATATAGTCTACAATACATATACAAAATATGTGTTAATTAACTGTATTATCAGTAAGGGTTAACAGTAGGTTATTAGTAAAGTTTTTAGAGAGTCAAAATTCATACGAAGACTTTTCCACCACACAGAGAGTTGGCGCCCCTAATCTCCACATTGTTCAAAGGTCAACTGTATATCTACATTTTTAGTAAGGCACCATTTGGGCACACTAAGGTACGTAATTTTTATTACTATTTGGTCTTCCTATTGAAAAGGAAAAATTTAAATGACTGAAAGCAGCTGTTTGTCTTCGCCTCAACAAGAATGCAATTTTTGAGTTAAACAGAGATGGAAAAGAAGTTCACTTTTAAAATTATCCTTCGTGTATATTTACACTGAAACAAACGGGGGGTGGGGTGGGGGAAATGCAGCACTCCCCAGGTGTGAGCCCTTGGCCAGGGGCCCCTTAACCAGAGAATGGAATAGAATGATGTAATCAAAACTCCTTTAAGGGCACCATGCCCCGGGGGAAATTGTCACAGACAAGGTGAGCTGAGTGCTTACTACAGGGCTCTTGACCTCACATACCCCCAACGACCTAGGATAGGTTCTATAGACGAGATAGGCAAGTAACACTCAGGAGGTGAAGTCAACAATCCAAGGTCCCACAGCGAGCACAGGACAGAGATAATATTTAAACCTAGGCGTCCAGTGTCCATCTGGGCATTCCAAGTCTCTATAAAGCCATGCACAGACACGAGGTTCTGTGTCTTCATACTTCATGACGTGTTATTTGTACAAAGGGCATGTGCATTTTTCTTCCTCCAAAAAGCAGCTCTTTGGAAAGATGAAACATCTAGTAACCGAACAAGGGAGCTTACATTTCTAAATTAAAAACCTATTTTTGTCTTGTATATTAGAAGCAAACAAACTAACCTTAGTTGGGCCACGAGCTTCTATATTAAAGTCTCTTTAAAATACATCTCTGAAGTTTTTTTAAAATAACTTCTCACCGCTTTACAAACATTCTCTAAAGCACCCCCTATACTAATTAGCAATAATAATTGTAAGTAATCTGTCAAGAATTTTAGAAAGTGCTGCTCCAACTGAAAAAGGCTGATCCCTTTGCCAATGACAAATAATGTGTATCTTCAATAAGCATGTCAGCAACGTTATTTTTATGGCATAGAAAATGCTAAAGTAGCACACATAAAAATAACAGCACACTGATTAAGTGAAGTACATTTATATTTTTGGACTCAGTTGCTCGAAAATCCAAGTAAGCAGTAAGAAAATAACTTGGGTAGACTACAAATGAAAGCTCAGTCAACTGGAACAACATTTTGGCTACTCAGTAGCAGGGCTCAGGACGTGAATGCTTGGATCACAGGGTTAGAATCTGTTAGGTTTCTCTCAAGTCCCCTAACAGCATCTGTGCTCATCTGCCACTTCCCTCCTTTAGCTACTGTCATCGGTTCAAATCAAGACTATGGAACAAGTTAGCATGCTTCTGGGAGCTCATACATATTTTAAATTATGGCCCCTTTGACACCCCTTCAGGGCTCTTGGATCCCCCAACACATGGAGGGGAACGGGAGCCCCAGTTGAGGACTGCTACAGAAGCATGATGGACAAAGAGGAAAACAATGGGAATGCCATAAAGGGAATGGGCAAGGATGGAGGGCAGAAACAGAAAACAGAAGGCAAAGCTCTTCTTCTGCATCGTGCAGAGATCACGACCAGTCAAACGAGGACTGATGACTCAAAGGGTTGGTTTGAGGAGAGGAATTCAAGTTACATTGCCACAGATCTTTGTATACCATCCAAATGTTTTAATATCATTAAGTGGTTAAGTGGCTTATCACCAGTAAGACAAGTTTTGCATTTTTGTTGCTAAGTGCAGGTATAATTCGTTGAGCCACATCACGTATCAAAACCAGGAAAATACCCCAACTATATATTATATTTTGCTTTTGACACACAGAAAAACAAAATGATAATATATGTTTTTTTTCCCTAAGGGGTGGATAATAAATCTCATGGTCTTAAACATACTTCCTGTTTCTTCATCTAGAGCCCTCAGAAATGACATAGTTCTCCCGTGGAGCGAGGCCATGTCAGTTCTAAGACGCTGGGTGTAGTCATGACACACGCAGGCATGCGGAGAGGTTGAAAGCTGGGAGCTAACTCTTGGAGATGCGCCTTATCAGCCTTCCCCGGTGCTAATAAAGTCTCCACTCTGCGGGGGCGCTGCCTGGAGAAGCCTGCCTCCTTACCTTTGATATGGGGAATGAAGTGGTGTCGGAAGGGGGAGTTGGGGCGGGTGTCGCTGTGGGCGGAGCTGAGGCTGCTGGTGCGCAGGTGGGACGACCTTTGCACACCAGGAGACAGCAGCTCTGTGCAGCAAGGAGTCAGGGGCAGGGCCAGGTGGAAACAGAAAAGAAGAACAGAAATTAACACAGGAGCAGGGACAGCATCATCATTCCAAGGCGGGGGGGTGGGGTGGGGAGGAACTAAGAACGTTAATCAGGAGTCTGAAAAAGGAAGAAGGCAAAAGGGTTAAGAACGCACCTGCTGAGGGAGAGGCAAAGTGGGGAGAATTTGCAAATAGGTTCGGGTTGGTACAGAGTCACTCTCTGGAATAAATGGCTTTATGAGAAGGAATGGCCACCACGACATTCTCTGTCAGGATGACACGGGCTACTCTGGAGCCAGTACCTGGCACAACATTTAGACTCAGATAGTTGTTTTTAAAAAGCACCTGGCAAAACAGAACCCTTGAAACACATGTGAAAAAAACAAAACTAAACAACCCCCCCCCCCAAAACCCCGATAATCATTTTAAGAACCTTGAAAAGATGTAGTTATATGTAAAGGTCAGATTTTTTTTCTAAGGCTGCCAACTTCTCCCAGTAGCAGTTTAATTTTATTTGCTTTTGTAGAAGGAAAACCTGTTTGTGTTCCCTGGGTGGTGAAGATCTACTTAGGATCCTGAGAACTGCGTGATGGTAGCACACGGGGACTGGAAGCTTCATTATCTTGGAAGGAAAACTTGCCATTGTAACTAAACCCAGACCTGGGGAACATGTACCATCATCTAGGATCTAGAACCTGCAGGGAGGATAATCAGAGGTTTTCTATACCGACCACAGCCCTGCTGTCAGAACCCCATCGGCTTCACTTGACAAGGGTAGACCTTGAAAAAATAATTATAAATCCTAAAAATTGGCATCATGCATGCCCATAATATATCGTGAAAAGGAGGAGGAGAACTTAGAATTGGGAATGTTCTAGAGGTTGCTGGCTTCGGAACATGATGGGAACAAATGAAAACTTTCAGTGCTCAACAGTGACATGATCTTTTAGGGAAATAATGTCCCTGGCTGGACACCCCTTCATTATTCAGGGACCCATGGAACAACAATTTCCCTGTAGCCCCACATCATTCTGACAAGGTCATGGCTGTGGCCTCAATGACCTCAGCACATGCCTACATGGAGGGGTGGCTGAGTACAGGATTTCTTGTCTTCCACACAGATGAGGGCTTAAGTCCAGACCCAGGACTAGGACAGGAATTAAATGAATATAGTTGTATATGGCAAAAAAAAAAAAAAAAAAAAGAATCCATTTCTTGAAAACGTCTCATTTAATGTAACTCAACAAATACTATTTATGACCTAGAGAAGACTATACATTATTGAAGAATCATATAGTAAAAAAATCAATTTTCTATTAAGTCTATGGCTTAATAGAAATTAAGTCTAATTTTTTATTAAGTCTATGGCTTTAAGGAAAAGATTGCAGCCTTTTTATATGCTGTTCATTTCCTTTGGTTCTATTTTACTGAATAAGTTAGCAATGAATGAGTTTGTTCTCATCAACCTGCACAGAAGCAAGAAGCTTAAAAGGAAGTCTTCCTAGACGTTCGCTGCCACCAAGGTGGTTTAGAAGACCAGGATCTCCCTCTGGGAGTCTAGTTCTCAGGGAACCTTGGATCCATGCTGGGATCTCCATTTTTCCATTCCACATGAGACACCCACTAATAGTCATTGGGACTACACTGGGCACAGATGAAGGTCACCTGAAGTCCACTACCGTTCGATATTGTCTATCCTAATATGTCTCTAATGTTTTTGTTTTCCAAGTCTGGTTCAAAATCTAAGGGCTAGAATAGATCTGAAAAGTTATCAAATACAACCCCGAGGTGCCATGTAATACTTCCTTCTAGAAGGTGCTTAACCAAGCACACTTAGTAACACCCTGTGCCTGGTTCGGGGAAACACAGCAAACCCACCAATAAATGACCAATGCTAGATTTTAGATGTGCCTAAAAGGCACATCAAAATATTTTCTTTGGAGAGCTTCATGTTAAGTTTCGAAGTAAATGAAATTTTCTTTAAGTCTAAAAAAAGAAAAAAAAAATCTCCCTGGCTTCCCGCTATTCAGTCAAAATGTAATTATTTAATAAATCATAATGAATATAATCACAAAATTACACAAATTATAGTTAGATAGGATTTCTCTCTTTTTTTTTTTTTCCCCTGGGAAAAGGGGAGATCTACTTAGCAGCAGATTTTAAATACACTATCAGTGGTGGGAAAAAAGAAAATCACACGGCAACACAAAGTGAATCTTCGCGACAGGCACCCTTACCAGGTCTGTGAAAGTGCTGGGGAGAACGAGATGTGGTTGGAGTGTAACTGTGGCGGCTGTAGACGGGGGAGTTGATGGAGCCCTGGCTGGTGGACCGGTGCATCACCCGGTCCCTCGAGTCCTGGTAGCCCTGGAAAAAAAGAGCGAGAACGTGGGCGCATCAGACACACATTCAGGCTATCATTGGGTCCCAGTGACATCCAGTTCTACAAGGACTGCCTGATGTCGACCTGTTCATACATTTTAGGGTCATATCCCTCAATACGTATACAAAGAAGCATTCTGCGGTTAACACATTTTGTTTGAAACCTGTAGCTCTTGCATTTCCCCAAATTTTAAGATGTAAAATGGTAAACTCCCATGTTGCTAGACCTCTGGGAAAAAGAGAATACCCTGATGGCCACACTGGTATGGTGCCATTCAGTTTTATAAAGTATGTTCAGCATTTCATCTGATTTTCATAGCAACAAAAGTAGAACACAAGGTATGACCTCCCTTCTCCACAAATTTAAGATGTTTCCGAGCAGGTAAGAGACCCTTGTGTAGGTGTGTAGGTGTGTAGCTCGCATAGGGCAGAGCCTGCTTCAGAACCTGCCTCCCGGCTCTCATTTCACCCTTTGCTCTGGCCACCAACCCACACTGTCTATAACACTGATCTGGTGACATTTTAAAGTGATTTTCCTGAAGAACAAGCTGCTGGTGGCCTCAAACCCAGGAAATCCTACTTCCCACTTTGAGAAACATATCCCAAGGAGAAAATAAAAAGTGATCTCCAAATGGGAAAATCTCAAAGATATTTATAATACCACCATTTATAAAGATTAAACTTTCTCAACAAATCGGGGAATAATGAAGTCAATTAGGTGTATCCATTCAATGGATACACTGTATACCCACTATCTCCAAAGCCAGAAAAGAGCAGATTAGATGTGAAGTACAGAAAAAATCATACACACATAAACGCAACATAAAACAGTTCAAACAATGAAAAGGGTAGGAAAGAACGTTCTCCATTTTAGGAACTGGTTGTCTTACGAAGTTTACAACAGAAATACAAGTTTGGAAGACAGAATGGAAAAATGCCTGAATTAAAAACTCAGTAATCAGGGCTGTGTGAAATGTGAGAGCAAATGGCAAGGAAACTACGGTTTGATTCTAGTTGCTTAGAACAATAAGTTATATAAAAACAAAATAAAAAGAAGTCCCTAAACAATGTGCTTCAACTTTGCAACTGGTTGATAACAGAAGTTAATGCTTCATAACTTCTGTCATTAGAATACTAACAGAAATTAGTATTTCACAGCCCTCAGTCACAAACATCAGAATGCTACAGAGTTTTTACTAGGTTAAATTATAATGGTTATCTAAGATCAATCCAGTTTTACGTAGAGTATCCAGAAAGTTGCTTGAAGACAAGACTCACTGATTTTTCATTCATTTTAAATTTTTTAAGGTTTTATTTTATTTCTCAGAAAGAGAGGGAGAGAGAATCTGAAGCAGACTCTCTGCTGAACACAGAGCCCAATGCGGGGCTCGATCTCACAACTGTGAGATCATGACCCAGGCCAAAGTCAGGATGCTTAACTGGCGGAGCCACCCAGATTTATTATTTTTATTATTATTCTTTTTTTAGATGGGAGTAGACCCAACACCTGAGGCGTTGGCTCACTGGATACTAAGGAAATGCAGAACAGTAAGAAGCATTCTAAACACACGATCCCTTGGTTATTGTTCTCTGAAGAAGCTAAAATGAAGAAAAAGTGCTGGGTCAGACCCTGGCACTGGACCACGTTCAGATGTGAGTCAGCCTGAGCCTAGGTCGCTAGCCTGGAAGGCCCCTACACCCTGCCCCAAAAGGGAAAAAATTAGGAGAGACCAAGGAAAGTCCTTCTATGGGCTCCGGTCACCAAGCAGGCAGTCGGCGTGGGACCGGGGCAAAACCGAGGAACTCTGGACGAGGAGGGAGAGTGTGAAGTTGTTGAAGAACCGCTAAGACGGTTGTGAGAATAACTAATCCGGGGCGGTGTCTGGTTTTGACACCAGACAGGGCGGAAGGCGTGTGTACAGACTGAGAAGGGACCTGGGGCTCACCGTGGAAGGACCACGGATGGCGCCACGTGATCCACACCGGAGTTACTCCCAAGGGAACGGCGGGCCTGGTGGGCCGGATACAAGCCATTGTGAGATTTCTTTACCCTGAGGAGCGGGACAAGACTATGGATTTGAAACAAAAGGGAGTGTCCTCCCCTAAAGACGGCTCTGCTTACAGAATGCTCAGTGACCACCGGAGGCCATTTCTGATAGTCCAGGATGCTGGGCCTCAGATCAATTCCATATGGGGAGGGGAGCACCCCCAGCAGGACGGGTGGTCTCACTCCCCGCAAACCCTTCCTGGGCACTTAGAGGCAGAGGCTCAGATTACTGTATGGCTGTTTTTACCCCCAGTCTCACTGTAGAAAACACTGACTACTGTGTCTTAGAGTCATCTCACATGTAAGGGATCCGACATGCATCACAATTTTGCACCCAGTTTTTGTTGTTGTTGTTTTGTTCAACGTCCTTCCTTAAAAACTCCAGTCTAGGAAAAGTCCAGGTAACTCCCAAATCCCATCTGTTATAATGTCCAACAATGGTACTTACTTCTGCTGAGGGAGTAGGAGACAAAGTCCTTGGAGACTAGAAGAATAAAAGAGAATCGAAAGTTACAGTGGATACTGATTTGTTATCAGTTTAATTAGTTTATCAGAATCCCCTGGAAACCATACCGCATCCACACGCCTGCTCCCCTCGTCCATCCCTGTCTTCTGATTCGGTAAGTTGAGTGTGGGGCTCAGACAGGAGCATGACAACCAAGTTCCCAGGAGCCTGACTCATGTCCCAGCCTAAGAACTATGGGTTTTGAGAAAGACGTAGTTGTACTTTCATGCTTAAGTTAGACAAACTGGAACTACTTTTCCCTCTATGCTCAAACTATGCTCAGTTTACTATTATGAGTCATGGTGTCTACTGGAACACAGAATTTTATAAACATGGTTGTTGGCTCAATTATAATCAGAGCAATCACGTAAAATCATTTGCTGCATGACATAGACCAGGGATGACCAGGTCTGTGGGATCCCACCCTGATGGGCTTGCCAACATGACCACATTCACCTGGCTTCCAACCTTGCGGGCACAAAGGCTTCCTTGGGGGCAGTGAACAGATCAAACCCTCTCTCACCCCAGGGCCTTTGCATCTGCTGTGCCCTCTGCCAGCAGTGCCTTTCACTCAGAACCTGCCGGGCTTACTCCTCTTCTTCAGTGAGGTCTCATGTGATACACACAGTGCCTTCTGTGACCGTCCTATCTGAAGAAGGAACCCAGTCCTACACGCTTTCTCCTTATTCTGCTTCGCTTTTCTGCTAGCACTACACCCTGGAGAAGGGTGTTACGTATCTGCTGATGGTCTGTCTCCCATATCCCACTGCAAGTTCCACGAGGGCAGGAACTCTGTTTCTTTATAGCTACTTGTATTCCAAGGGACTAGAGCAGCTCCTGGCACCTATGAGGTACCCAACAAATATTTCCTAAATGAATGAATGAAATGTTTACAATTAAAACGCAAAAAGCATTTAAATGGAATTGAAATGCAAACAAAGCATCCTGAAGAACAGAGCTAGATTTCTCAGCATCCCAGTTTTCCCCTCACTCCAAGGTCACAAGATGCCACTGGGCTCTCCTGGCACAGCACCTTCCTCAAGCCCCAAGGTCTCGAGACAGCTACAGCCTGTGTTGGGGTTGGTAGTGGTGGGGGTGTCTAAGCTGGGGAAAGACAGGCTCCTTGAAGTGCAGAGCCAGGCCTGACCCTGCTGACAGCAGGCCTCCCGATCCACCCCCTTCTCATGTTTCCTGGAGGTGCAAACGGCTACACAGAAGGTCAAGTTTATTCCTCCAGTGTTTCTAAATTGGCAATCTATGGATTCTAATAAGTAGAGGAATAAAAAATCAAACAGCGTGTGTCAAGTTTTCTACGTTGCAAGATTCTTGTGTTGGGGAAGAGACGGAGAACATGTGTTCTGATCTGGGGGCAAACTCCCATCAAGATTCCGTGCTCCGAAAAACCCACAGGTCATCATTCTGGGTCCTGACGGTAATGATGCTGACCACGAGAGTGGCCAACAGTTTTGTTGAGCACTCACGGGCCAGGTACCGTTCTAATCTAAATATTTCACTGAATCACAGAAGACCTCTGAGGCAGGTGTTACTCCCTTGAGTTTACAGATAAGGAGACTGAAATACATATTTTCCCCAAAGTTGTATGGTTAGTAAACAGAAGTCTGACTCTAAACCCTGAAACGTTCACTTCAAAGCCCAAACTCTCAAGTGCTTGATGTTTTACTGCTCAAAACGGAGCCACCGGGAAATAGATATGTACCCCCAAACCTAAAACACCAAAAAACAACTCACCTCCCCCTTGCTTGGACAACCTGAATATGAGCAAATTCTCATCTACTTGCTCCAGGCCCAGGCCCTGTGTACCCTGTTCAGGAACTGTCCTTTTCCTTGATTTTCTACACAGCTCTCCAGGCGGGGCCCCATGGCAGCTCACAACCCAGCACACCACCACCACCACCCCCCGCCGCCCCCCCAGTGTGGCTGCAGATGCAGTTACAAGTATATTACCACTAGGGGGCACTACATGAAAATAGATATCACTTCCTGTCCAATGGGCCATTTCAACCCCAAATTGAAAAATAAGTGAATGAACAACATATATTACAATTACGAATACATACAAATATAATTATTAGACATGTCATATATACATGTATTACTGAGAACAAATGAAACAGAATCACCATGTTTTCATGGCTTTTCTTCATCTAAGATCTCAAAGCACTGTGTGGACATGTTAGGTAGTTTACAGTCTGTTTTAACCTTGGGTTGACAGCTAATTTCAGTCCAATATTTGGGTAACATCTCTCTGACTGGACTCAAATCAGTGTATAGAGGATTCCAATTTTAAAAATAAAAGGGAAAAAGGTTTAAAGTGAGTTGAACAGGCCAGGAGAAACAGACCAGAGCCCATGCAACCCAGGTAGGGAACCCCCAAACCTGGGAAAGGATGGGGAGGACCCCAAGGGGCTGAGCGGCTGTGCTCCAGCCTCTGGACCATTAATGTTCAGAAAGCATTACTAAGCCCCAAGAGGACAGGGAATGACCACAGCAGCAGCTGTCATTTGCTGAACATTTACCACGACTCTCTCAGGTAATTGCTTTAATAGAGTAGTTTATACAGATTAGTTTTAATAGACAATGAATGATCTAAATAGTCTATAGATACTAACCTTTAAGAGATCATTTATTTAATCTTTACTAACATCCTGTGAGGTAGATTCTGTCATCCTGTGTTACCGATGAAGAAACCAGGGTCAGAATGGTTACCACATGGCCAAAGTCATCCAAGTGGCACGTGGGGTCCCCAGGTTGAGCCCAGATAATTTGATTCCAGAACCCTGGCTCACATCACTGTGCCACACCATGGTCTCCGTCTCTCTGCTGTTTCTGTTCTCTCACAGTCTAACTATCTTAAGATGTTGCACACAGCGGCTGTCCTGAGGATGTATGTTCTCTTCCTCATGATCCCCATGACTGTACCTCAGATGGTACCCCCAGGAGACCCCCAGAAGACTCCCTCACTCCCTCTACCCAGCTCACAGAATCTCCCCTGTGAATTCTGACTTACTCCCCAGTATGTCCGCTCTGCCATCCCACAACCTGGTACCAGCACTCATTCATGCTTCCCCGCTGTTTTCTCTGGCTGCTCTGTTCTCTCAACCCTCTGTAAACTCCGGGGTCAGGGATGGTGTGAGAGATTTCTGAGCCCCTCAAAGCACCTGGTACAGAAGCCTGCAAACAGTAGGCAATCAAAAGAACCCTCTGACTTATTGTGATTCCAATCAGTCATTCTTATACACATGATGAAAGAGAAGTTGCTGTATAAACACAGCTTCTAGAATGTGTTACCTCTCCCAGGCTCTGCCTCTCCTGTTTGTCATCATAGCCGGAAGTGTAGAAAGGCTCATATGTAATAAGATCTGGACGTTCAATATCATAAATTGCCTTGACCTTGGGGATGGCTGCTAAATCCTTATAATCCAGGATTTCATTGTCCACTTTTGCCTGGCCAAGTTAAACAGAAAACAAAATCACTTTTCAGTCTCATCTCTTTGGAAAACTGTTAGTACATTTCATGTCCTGTTTGAAAGGTAAAGACCTTAAAAAGAAACAAAAATCAAAGCATTTTGCCTTAGAAGGTTGCCTATTTATACCATATATTAATCATGTTTTATTAAAAAAAAAAGTCACCAAAAGCTTAGGAAAAAGTCTGTGCAGAATAAACCAAGTAGAAACGCCTTCAAACCTTCAGGATCATTTTCCTAAATTTATTACAGAGATGGAGAAGCTCAAACAGATGGTCAAAAAAAAAAAAAAAAAATCCTCCCAGATGGCTAAAAACAAGAACTGCGTATTTGATAAACTAAATATTTAAATATCTCGTGGCAGAATTTAAGAATACTCAGTATCAGCCTTACAAAATGTTTAATTAATCCCCAAGTGTCTATATCCAACAATTTTTCAAGTCCTGCATGGTATTACTGCATTTTATAGGTCATTGACATCGATGGTCACATTTGTATATAAATTTAATTACCTGAAGGAAAACAGGATTGGGAAGGCTGATCTTCAACAATGAAAACTGGATCTCGTAACAGAAATAGAAATCATTTCAAATTATTCTACTCTGGATTACCCCCCCCCCATTACCATCTGCTATTTTACCTGTCCCGAAAGGAAGGGTCTTTGCCAGAAGTTAATACTTACATAGATAGTATGACCCGGGGAGCCAGGGATACTGGAGCTTGGTCTAGAATAAATGCTTTCAGAGGAAGTCCTGGTAGGCTGTAAATAAAAAGTGCCTTGTAAGATTTTAGACTGTGGCTTCAGAATCAAGAGTGACCCGAGTCCCTAGCATTTACTCAAAACTAAGCTGGTTAGAAAAGATCTGTGGCTTTTCTGAGTAAAGGAAAATATAACCTAGACAGAAAGTTTAAAGAGAACCAGCTAAGCAATTAGCCTTGAGAATGCATTTGGGGACTTGTCACCTTCTCTTCCTCGTCCCCTCCAAGACCTTCTGGCTCTGCCTTCACGACACCTCCCTCTGCCTCTGTTGCCACCATCCCAGCCCCAGTCTCCAGCTCCACTCATCTGGACTGTTGCAATGACTTTGCCTGAGGGTTTCCTGCCTCCATCTCGTCAAATCCATTTGGTACCCAGAGACCAGAGAGATCTTTTTCTTTTAGGATTTCATTTATTTATTAGAGAGGGAGAGTGAGAGAGCATGAGTGAGGGGAGGAGTGGAGGGAGAAAGACAAGCAGACTCTGTACTGAGCACAGAGCCTGATGCGGGACTCGATTCCAAGACCCAGAGATCATGACCTAACTGAAGTCAAGAGTCAGACCCTTAACCAATGGAGGCACCCATGCAGGCACCCCCCAGAGAGACCTTCAAGAACAGAATTTGGTCACTACTCTGCTTTTGGCTTCAGCAACCACTTAAAATCACAACTCCCAGCACCTCAGGGTTTTGATCCTGTTCTCCTCTCCCACCCTCTCACTTCCTTCCCACCATCACTCATGGAGTATGACGCAGGTTCCTGCTTCAGGATTCTTATCCTCGCTCTTCCCTCTGCCTGAAATGCTCTGATCCTCGATTTTACATAATTTTTTTTCCTTCCTCTAGTTTTGGCTTTAAATGTCACCTCCTCAAAGAAGCCCTCCCTGATCTTTCAACCCAAAATGGTTACCCTTATTTTCTGTCAGTGTTTTCCTTCATGAATAGCCCACAGCTATGTGACAGATGAGGTGAAAGCAAAAGAAAAAAATGTGTGATCACCTAGCAGGGGAGAGTGTCCTTAGCTCCACAAGAAGCCTGCAGTGGCTCCATGTTGGGGTGGGGTAAGAGAGGGGGTAATGCAAGGCAGTCACACATCTTCAGGTACTGATGCTGGTATGACGAAGCCCTGTTTTCATTAGCGAGCAGCGAGGACATTGTGTGACCAGCCAGAGAGCACACTGAGCTGTGGGATCTCTCCCATGTCACACATCCTATTTTTGTGAGATACGGGTCAGGGATACTTCCTGCCATCCTTTAATGATACCCTTGGGGATGGCTCTGAAGTATTGCAGGCTTCCTCTGCAGCAGTCCGCAGGACTGTGGCAGAGCTAACAGCGTGAAGAGTTATCCACGACAACCTTTGTTCAAGGCTTTCAGATCTGAACCACCTCCATTTTGCATACACCTGTCTCAAGTTCTCTGATTCCAGAAGAAGTATTTTCGATTTTTATAGTCAGACTGTGTTCAAAGTCAAATCAGCCGGTCACCAAACCTGCCGATGCTCTGGCTCCCGTGGAGAGTTCTGTCTGCCGGGAGCATCTCCAGACCCATCAGCACTGGGAAAGGCTCAAGATGTCTCTTGGACATTCAGAAATTGCTTTGTTTCATTGCATTTACTGTGGCTCGCTTTTGCTTCACTTGGGTCTCCTTAGTTAGAATCTATTTCCATACACTTCCTACTTGCTTATAGGTTGAGTTACATCCTTATTTTCTTACAATGGCCCTTTGTTCTGCTTTCCCGAATAAAATGAGATGGTGGATAAAACACGACTCCATGTAGTATAATAGAGGGGGGTTAGGAGGCTGGATTTGGAGTCAAGGGATTTAGTTCAAAACCTTGCTCTCCTAGCTGTGTGACATTCTGAGTTTTCCTGTTTCTCTCCTTTCTCGCTTTCTCTCTTCCTTTTTGACTTCCTTAAGTTTCAACTTCTCATTTCTAGAATGGAGTAGATGGTACTAACACCTAGTTCATAGGGTCAGAGGAAACAACACCTGTAAAGCTTCAAGCACCTCGCCTCGCACAGGGCATGTACCCACTTCCAGCATCTTCCAGACACTGGACCTTAGCCGGGATTTCTTCATCTGTTAATCTCACATAGCGGAGGAGACCACCGCCTCTGTTTCGCTCTTCGTGACAGAAGGGTCCTTTCAAATGTGAGCTCCGTGCATGAGATGTCCGCAGAACTCTCTACAGCTACTGCATTTGTGTGCCTTCCCTTCGCAACTCAGGCACATGAAGTCATTTACCTCCGTCCACGGGGCGGCAGTCAGATAGCCTGATGCCCTTCCCCTTTCCGAGAGCTCTGTGAAGTGACTGCGTATCTGCCCAAGACGGTGACTTCTAAAGCGCAGGTCTCTGGTTTATTAATTTATGCCCTTCCCCCGCCGTATGGCAAAGACCTTGCACGAAGGCCTGTCTTATCTGCTGGAATGGTCCCTGGTGTGCTGCCTCTTCAGCCGTGCTCAGGTATCAGACAGCGCACACGGATCGCTGGCTTTTCTGCCATAGTCCAAATGGCTCCCAAAGTGTATGAGCTCACCTGGTGGAGGTTGGAGGTCCCTCCTTCATGAGGATAGTTAAGATTACTTTTTAAAACTCAACTATTAGTTTGGGTATTTTAATCTTAAGTATTTGGAATTTTGTATTTCGATTTTAAATATCTAGAATTATAAAAATGTTCAATTTTAAATGAACAACTTTGTTATTAAAAGGAATTCTTTTATTCTTCTGGCTGTATCCCTCCCCCCTCATTAATAAATAACTTGCTGAGGGTCTCTGATGGCCAAGAGAGCTTCAAAAGGGACACAGCTGTCTTCCAATATAGCAGCTCAAATCCACTCCAACTGAAACTCATTTAACCTGAAAAGCAACAACTTTCTGCCACGCTTTCCCTCTTTCAAATCCCACTGACTGTTTCTTCTTTACCATGAACTTAACTCTACTGTCACCCAGCTGGGCTAGAACAAAGTTTTGCAGATGATCCACATTTCCACAGATGATCCTTATATGCAATTATTTAACCTACATTAATTACGATTTCAACCCATTCTGATATCCAAGTTAACAACAGTGACTCTGTAATTACTAATTGAGTTCAATAACCCAGTGGGTCAGCAGCCTTTGTGAGCCTCTACTAGAGTTCCACTGAACAAAATTACTCTCTTGTCTATACAGTTGACCCTTGAACAATGCCAAGTTTAGGAGCATTGACCCACTGGGCAGTGGAAAATCCACATGTAACTTTTGACTCCCTCCAAAACTTAGCTACCCATACCCTACGGTTGGAACGAAAGCCTTACTGACAACATAAACAGTTGAGTAACACATATTTTGTATGTTATGTTTATCACATACTATATTCTTACAAGAAAGTACATTAGAGAAAGGAAATGTAATTAAGAAAATCCCAAGGAAGAGAAAATACATTTAGAGTACTGCAGTGTATTTACAAAAAAATGAAGTGTATGAGTGGACCCATGCAGTTCAAACTCATGTTGTTCAAGGGTTAACTGTATTCTAAATGAAGATAATTTCTAATACTTATCTTCAAAGGTATGCCCCCTTCTACAGAGAAAGGAAACAATCTATTATTAGAAGTAGATGCAATTTACTTATTTTACTGAAAGCACCTTTTCCCTCATGCCTTATGGAAAAACCAAACTTGAAAGCACAGGTGGAAATTTCAATTCTATTTTTTAGTGCCATCTTTAGCCAAAAAAAAAAAAAAAAAAAAAAGGCAGGGAAAGGGTGAAGGCACAGTAGATGATACAGAGAGGATTACAGACAGGCTGTGATCTCTCAAAGTATTTTGCTAATACAACTAGGTGAAGAATTTAATCCTTATTGTGGCCAACAGCAGGAAAGGAGCTTCAGGAAGAAACCCCTATTGTGTGTGGCTGTCCCAGCCCGCTCTCTCACCCAGGGGTCCTTGTAACCTACATTTATCTCCCCAGGACATGTTCACGGACCCACTTTCAATTTCAAAAAGGTTTTTTATTTTTCTCAAAAAAAAAAAAAAATCAAGAAGTTGATTTCTGAGTAGTTTGTTTCAAGAAGGAAGAGAGAAAAACGGCCTATGATCACTCACAGTAGTTGCCTAAAAATACACGTCTCTTTGCTTTCTTCATGAAGTCTTTTTAAAAGCTCTCTAACCGCCTTACAGCTGAGCTTTCCTCTATGCCTTGACTTGGTCCATCTGTCCCCCCCATTCAGAAGGCACAGTCACAAAGTGAGAATGACACTGAAGACATCTTTTTATGGGGCCACATGGCGCTCGTCCTTCTTCAGGTACTCGCCATTAAAACACTTACCAGAGCTCTGCCTGGTGAGTAAGCAGAGAAGTAACATTTTCCATGGACTTTCACTATGGGCCACCATGCACATGGCCAGGCCAGGGAGAGCCCGAGAGCACTCTGTTGCCCCCCACCTTCCCCCTTTCAGCAGGAGCAGGGGTGTGACAACTACCCATCTAATTTGCATTCCTCTAAAGCCATGCTCTAAGAAGGGAGAGAAACTACAGGCAACTGGCAACCGGATGGGAAAGAGCTGACGAACCCCTAGGGGACAACTACCTACACAAGGTGATCAACGCCTTATAGGAAGTGCTGCTGGGACTGACAGTACCTGCCTTGGGTTTTTGCTGAAGTTCACCAGACAAGGTGGTGATAATCGCCGCAGAAAAAGGAATACTTTTAAGATTTGCATACATTGCATGTTCACTGCTAAGTCAAGAAAGGGTGAAATTAACTCCTTTGGAGAAAGGGGTTTTATGTTTCAGAGGAAGCAGGAGGGGTTCAGGGGAACAAAGTCCCTTCTCTGGAGAGTTTCACAAATGCCATCGGCCTTTACTATGGCCAAAAGCCCTATGTCTTTCCTGTATAAATCTTCACCCCTATACATCCTGATGCAAGATAAAAACATAGCAAAAAGAATAAAATATTTGAATAAAGCAAAAGCCTGGAATAAAGCAGTATGTACCGTAGTGATGTTAATGAAACAATAACATTATGTCCTCATTCTAGACATATATAAAGCCTCCCATTAGCTCTCAAAAAATATGCACACATATAAAAAATATGTTTGGTATATTATAGGTTTGCGTGCATACGTTATAATAGTGAATGTTAGTTTCAAAAGAAAAAAACAAACTCATGCCCATTTTGTATGGCAGTCCATTCATGCTTTAGCCTCCAAAGGCACATCAGAGAAGCTCCTTTCTAGAATATAGCCAAGTGGTCCGATGTAGATTATAATAAACTTGGTCCTGGGAATATCATCTGCTTTGTCTGCAATGAATTACAGCAGAAATTAGAAATATTCAGTACTGAGTTTTACGTCCAAAGTTCACTATTCATATACAACTTTTCCAAGCAAGTAAAGCTGAGTATGTTTTTCTTAGGCAATTCTACTTCATCATTTTCTTTTAACCTGTACCTCAGTGTGAGGAAAAAAGGAGCGACTACAGAATATAAGTAATAAAATTACTTTCCTCCTATCAAGTTCCTTCACAGCAAAACCAGGGCTTACTTCTCGGGCACAGAGGGCTGAATGTTCCTGCAAGGAGTACAGCTGGTTTACCTAGTAACTAAAAGGGTCTGATACTATCTGGTGAAATGAGCTGCCTCTGGAAGCATCTAAAAGATCAACATATATGTGTGACTTGAGAATCGCCTTGGCATTTCCAGGCTTCTTAAAAGTTCTGGTGAGCTGTTCCTCAATGGCCAATGGGTAAAGAGGGGCCTTGTCAAATGGCCTGTTTCTCTGCCAGGTCCCCAGCTCTTTACAGCCTTCTGTGATGGAGCTGAAGTTGACTTCATTGATATTTACGGTCAGATAATGGGAATCAGATGTCCCTTTTGAACCAGGCTGGGAAGAGAGTGGTTATTAAAAACAGAGCTCTCTCTCTAACCCACCACTACCTAAGAGGCTCCCCATCTTTGAAACTTAAGGGTCTGAACCAAACCCAAGAATCTCACACTTGATGATGGTATTTTTGTTCAAGTCATGAAAATGCATCAGTTGGCTACAGCCTCAGGCTAACAAAAGATAATACTATTGGAGTTATAAAGAATACTTTGGGGAAATGACCCCAAAACTATTGAAAAAGCCACTGCTTGCCAAACAGCGATTCTAATTCTGAGCAACACTCCTCTGTGGTGGGGACCAGCTTCTGCTCTTCCACTGGATTCATGAGACGGTAATTTCACTGCGTATAAAATCTCCACCACTGGGGCTGAATGAGCTTTAGGACAGAACGAAGATCAGAATGACAAACACAAGTCAGGAGTGTGACCCAGTACTGTGGGCCAACCCAATGCACCCCAGGCCCGGACTCTGCAATTAAGTCTTGCTGCTGATGTCTGGGGAGCGCTGTGGGCTGATCTCATTCTCTGGATGAAGAAACTTAGGGGCTTGATGTCTAAAAGGTGTCTTTCCGCTCTGAATGTAGATACCTCTAACTCTCTTCCAAATCATTTAAAGAAAGAAGGTGAAGTCATAATAAAAGTACAGTCAGCAACTGTCCTCAGCCTTGGCGTGGTCCTGGCAGGCACGGACAAAAGGTGTAGGCACAGAGCCCAGACTGAAGTGTTATGTTGTAACCTCGAATTGTGAGCAGAGCTAAAAAATGGGTTTCCTCTGGGCTATGATAGGACTGCGGAAAATTATTATAATTTAACAGGTTTCAACGGATTCTGTGAGACCCCTAAAGAAGGTCAAGTAGGTGCTTGAGAGCCCAGGCTCCTTCCTGCTTCACTGGTCATCTGGCGAGCTGGCCAAGCCCTCTCCTGGCTTCTGGACAGTCCTGCAGGTCAAGCAGCTCTCTTTCTCAGACACATCAGATGGAGCCAGTATGCAGGGCTCCCCTCCTGTCTTCCTAAATTCCTCTGTGCTGTGGTGGAAAGAACACAACTTATGAACTCAGAGACCTCTCTTACTGTCTTCACTCCTCCACTTACTGGAGGGCTAACTCTGAGCAAATTACTTAACCATGATGGGTCTCAGTCTCTCATCTGTAAAATGGGGCCAAGGACAGCTACCTCACAGGGATTCTTAGGGAGAGCACATCAGAGTGTATTCAAATCTCCTGGCCTCTGCACAGCAGGTGCCTGGTTCCTCTCATTTCCTTTCTCACTTCACTATTGGTTTCTTGAGCCGAACCACTCCCTTCCCAAGCACTGTGTCCTCCGGGTGTGCTGGTGCTCTTCTCCTCACCAGTCCCAAGCCTTTCTCATCATCTCCATGTGTGTTCATCTCAAATGACCTCCATCATCCAACGTCAAGGTCACTTTCCCCAGGAAGTGCCCCTTGAGAGCCTTTCTCTCATCTGAGCTTCCCAGACCTACGTGATAGGTTTCTACACCATTTTATAATTATTTATCTATTATTTACCGGTCTTCCCTGCTATCCAGCCTAGCACTCACTATTCCCGGGTGTCTGGCAAATATTTGTTCAATGAACAAATGTGTAAATACAGGACCAAAAGGGGAGCTTCTACTGGGCTCACTTGAATGAACATAATGCTGGAGCCAGTTCTCTAAATGAAAACAATACTCAGGAAACAGCCAGAACGTGAGATGCACTCCGTGGGGTGAGAAAAAGCATCTGCTTCTGCGGGAGCCAGAGAAGTTATGGGGGAAAAGCAGCACGGAGAGGACAAGCGACAGAAGCCTGGGGCCAGGACAGCGGCTCGAAGCCTCAGCCTAGACACAGCGCCAACCTGCAGAGACGGAGACCGTCCTGTGCGTCGAACCAGACTTTTGGGATAAAAGAAATCGGATGAAGAACGATGCGTGTTTGGCAGCTGCCATAAAACATGAAAAAAGGGAAGAAATGAACAAAGAAATATCCTCAGTTTAGAAACACTATACAAACAAAACAAAACAAAACCTTTGGGAAAATGAATTTGATAGTGACTGTCAAGGGGCATCACTTTATAGTTTGTGTGTGTGTGTGTGTGTGTGTGTGTGTGTGCATGTGTTCAAGGCCCCATGTGTAAAAAGCATATTTACTGCTCTTCAAGTTACAGTTTATTTACCTACATTCTAACCCCCCATGATTCCCTTCATTTCCAGTTAGACAGTTTCATATATGAAGATTAAGAAGCCAGTGAAGCCATTGAGAGATGTCTTTAAGAATCTATCATTATAAATGGTCTGTGAGTTCTTAAATACCAAGAATGTAGATTACTCAGTAGGGTTGCAGAAAAATTCTTAAAACATTTTCATTTTGCTATGGTAACTGCACTGATGTGGTACCCCATGAAAGGCTTGGAAATCCTGGCTCAAGGTCTGTGATCTGTAGACACACCCTTAAGAGAGGACAACATTCATTCCCTTATTCAAAAAATGATTCCCCTTTAAACCCCACCAATGTCAGCACACGCCCTATTCAGGGCACTGGGACCTCTTCCCCGCTGGAGTGCTTTGTCCTATGCACTCCTTGGCTTCCCAAATGTGAGCAAGCTGAGGGTTGGACTGACCTCCCAAGTGGTTGAATGTTGGCTTTAGGAGAAAAGTCTTGGAATTTTCTGGAAAACTTGACTAAAGGAAGAAAAACTAACAGCTCTTCTTGGCCAGAAAGAGGAGAAGTATTTCACTCATTGTTTTCACAAGCTTATCCAGAGAGTTCTATCAAGATGCAATCAAGAGTGGTTTTTTCCTTTCTTTTTAAAATATCATTTTAGTCACACTATCTGCAAACTCAAGCGATTCTTACAGAGAAAAGACATACATTCCATGCAGTCTGGTCTCATTAGCATTCTTCTCCTCATCTCACAAAAGACTTCATCAGAGATGAAGTGAAAATGAATATTCAAAAAAACTGAAAGCAACACAGTAGAGAGAGTACAAACCACTAGTTAGTTGGGTGTTTTCTGGGAAGCATTCCCAAGCTACGCTATGAATTTTACATTCTTATGATAAAAGTGACAATAACTACTATCTTTAATGTTCTGGGATTTTAGAAAGATAACCCACTTCCAAAGCATCCATAGTTCCTCAAAAATCTCCGACTCTGGTGCCCAACACGGGTGACTGTTCCAGTGTGCACCTGCCTGGTGGGTGGACTTGAGGGTTATACACACATGTTCAAGTTGAAGCTGTTATGTGTCCACCATCCTGATACTGGAGGACAAATTCCTTTTCAGTTTGTCTTGTTTTTACTCCATTATTATGAGAATGAGGGTTTTTTTTTTTCCCTTTTCCATAGAAGTATGATGCCGATGGGGTTATAATGCAGAGCTGCTTACACCTATTAATGGCAGCTTAAGAAGACCTGATACCACACTCTAGAGTTTGGCTTCCAAAGTAACTTCAGGTCTTTCTTTTCCCTGAGATGCCAAGTGGAACACAGTCAAACTATAGTTTTTCCAGGGGTATCAGTAAGTCAGCTAAATCAAGAGCCTGGGATCCTATGGACTGGGATCCAGTGTGATTATTGCTCAGAAAATATTTCACAGTCCAAGGGAAAAACCAGGGGCATCTGATTAGGATACAGATAATGATACTGACTTATAAGCGTGTGCAACTCTTTGCTTCTGAAACATATAAAATAATGTCATCTGGAGGTTTTGTCAGGGCTGAATAAGACCAGGAGAAGGTTTTAGAAGTGAGAGGTGAAGAGGGTCTATCCTTTTGTCAGAGCACTTAGTGTTCAAGGACAGTTACTGAAACATTTTGATGTTACCTAAGAGTTAAGTTACTGGGATGCTTATTCACACTGACACTTTTGGGCACATCATTGTTTTCCCCAACGGTTTTCTCTGACAAACCATCAGCTTCTGGAGACAGAGGCTACTTAGAGAATTTGGATTTAAGAGGTCAGTAAAATGTACCATGGATGCAGAGTTTGGGTTGGGGCAGTACATTATGGACTAAGTACAAAAAAGTCTGGTAGGCCACCAGATGTCTGACTTAGAACTTGATGAATAATTTCTTCTCATCTGTATGTTTTGACTGTTCCTTGAATGCTTTCCTATGAACCTGACTAGCTTACTTTCTCCAATACAAACATTGGAACTAAAACCACAATCAGTTTAACATTGGAGGGAAGGGAACCTCCTTCCCTGGCCAAATGGTCTTTCAACTTGATCTGATCTTAAGGAAAAAAAAAAAAAAGACATGATAAAGTAATTTCCCCCAAACTCCAGCCCTGAGGATTAGTGGCAATGACACAGATGGCCAGCAAATGCACCTGGCACTACAGCTCTCATTGTTTCCTTACCCGCAGCTTTTCCTCAGTCTTCGTAGATTGCTTACAGTCGGGATGCCAAACGGTGGAACCTGGAAAGACACGATGCCCGCAGAGAGTTAAAGGAAATGGAAAGAAGACAAAGTCCTATTAGCCAGAACTTCTGAGAACAGTTCATATTCTTCTCTATCAGAGGAGAGTGTGAGAGCCCTGGGTCCAAGTGAATTATGGCAACTCTAACCACCAGGTGAGTTTTCCTCACCCAGTCTGAGCTCGCTCTAGAAAGGTCATAATTCTAGACCACAGAAACCACTAACAGGCATAAGAGTGTTCTGACGCAAGAGAGGTTTGATTCTTGACTGAGTGTTGTTGCTGTCATTTTGGACCATATTATTATCCTTTAAAAGTCACATCTGTGTGCTTACTACAAGCTGTATTTAATTTAAACAGAAGCCATAAACAATGTTTATAGAACATCAAAACAACCAAGCAATTTAGATGAGGGAAATAGAGTCAGACAGTCCATACCCAGAAGCAAAACTCACTGAATTTTTTATTGATCCAATCCACACGGTCATCTACAAAGATATGGAAAATTAAGCCAACTCGTAGAAAGGTCAAAAGTTATGTTATAAATGCAGAAGTCTTCTTTAACTTTTAACCCTTTAATTAACAACAATAAGAACAACAAAAGTCTCCACTCTCAAGTGAGTGAAATTACTAAGTGTCATTTTCTGTCCCTGAGTCAATACCTCACCTTCTCTGAGAATGAAGCCCTTCCTTGGAATGATGCCCGCATCCTAGAACTAAGCACAACACTTAAATCCCATAGAGGGCTCTTGTAAGAATTCAAGTCCTCCAGTATGACTTCGTAGATATGTATGTCATTTATACAGCTGTGGGTCAGACCTGTATGTAAGTCCTATGTTTGTGGAAGGAGATGTTTAAATATGGTTATGGGCAGAAGAGCCGTAGGAGCACTGGGTAAGACTTGAGCAAGTGAAGTTACTAAGTTGAAAGCAGTGAGTAAATGATACGAATTTACTAAGTCTCAGGAGGAACATCAGACCTGTTAAGTCTTTATCTCTTCAAGCAACCACCTGTGTATACTTGAAAATTCACCAAATTAAAAACTCTTGAATTATTTTACACCACTGAGCTAAAATAGATAAAATAATATTCATGACAAGGGTAATACCTTTCCTATCAGAATAATACTTTAATCCCTATTTAACAGTCATTCCTATCTTGCTTAACCCAGAGCCAATAAATAAATAAAAGAAAGAAAGAAAGAAAGAAAGAAAGAAAGAAAGAAAGAAAGGGGGAGGGAAAAAAAAAGGGGAGGGGGATGAAAGAAACAAACCAGACAGACACATAGTCCTTTTAGCATTAGTGTTTACTCTGAGGCTGGCTACAAAGCACAGGAAATCCTCTTAATGTGGGTGGCCCAGGAGCAGCACTCGCTCTGAAGGTTCTGCTGAGCTGGAGCCCTTGACCAGACCACTGGGTTTGCTCACAGGGTCACAGTATTCTCCGGAGGTCAGACACACAAGGACTGTGACGTGGGGAGCACGTCAGATGCTGAGGAAGATGAACTACTCTTTCTTCAAGGACATGTCGAAAAGGCAGGCAAAGAGCACCGAAGCCCAACGCTAGAAGCCATTTACAACCACCCCTGGAATTCTGAGGACAGCCCATCTTAACGGACGGTTGTTTATTTGTAGTATGAATATGTTCTCATTGGCGCACAGCTTGAAATCACTCTCTATTCAGGTTCCAGAAGCATGTGAACGTGCGGGGCTGCACCCAGAGCCTTTGAGTCTCAGTTCCCAGCAGACACGGGGTTGACACACACTCTTGTGTCTTTGCTTATGAGTGCTACCATAGACACACTAAATCTAAAACAAAGCCTGGAGACCAAATGGAGAATAAATATCGATTCCATGTTGAAAATGCAAAGTGACACCTGCCTATGGCTATGGAGACTCACAGCCGGCCCTCAGAGACATGTGTCATATAAAGTCCACATGAGACTATGGGTTTGGGGGCCTGTCACTTGCCTTTATTGAGCCCTTTAAAATTCAGTGACTTTTTTCATCAGAATTTTCCAGACCGATCATTAAACATGAGTGATATTTGGGTTGTCAATTTCTCATAGAGGTAGCATTTTTCAGAGTAGATAAGGCTTTGCTTTAATATTCAAGAATCATTTCCATTGACTTTTCTTCATTGTATAAAAACAAAATAGAGAGCAAAGGAACCATTCATTAAAAATACACGTAGTGTTAAGTGCAGAGAGACAAAGAAGTGAATGTGAAGGCAGATGAGACCTGGTAATTACCAAACTGAATGAGCACCAGCTTCCATGGTTCTCGTTAATTTTACTGATAAGCCCTTGTCGATTTAATGACTCTTTCTCCGGCTAAAAATAGTAAAATGTTTGCGCAGATGGTGCTGTTTGACTGGAAGAGAATCCTCCCCCAAGCTTCTCGCTGAGAAACGTCAGCATTTTAGGGGAGATAAAAACTAGTCATGGTTGTACACTGGGAAAATTTCTCAAAATGATTTTCAACTTGAAAAAATCTGGGGGCACCTGGGTGGCTCAGTCGGTTAAGCATCCAACTCCTGATTTTGGCTTGGGTCATGACTTCAGCATTGTGAGATGGAGCCCAGAGTTTGGCAGGGAGCCTGCTTAAGATTCTCTCCCTCTGCCCCTCCCACCCATCATCCCCAAAAATCTGATGGCCCTCTGGTAATGAGTATTTCTTTGCCACCAGAAACTTCTCCACTTCTCTTTCAGGGACTCTGGAAATGTTCTCTCTCACCCTCCTGCTATCTTTCTTTCCGTATGAGAGCTATGTCATCTTAATGGGATGAAATACATCTATGATGCAATTCACCAAATATGAGATTTTCTTCTTCTTGAAAGCTTGCGTCAGAGCAGGTGGGAGGCATTGAAAAATCCTTCTCGCGGGGTAGTGAAAGGAGCAAAGACAAAGTACCATCTAGAAACGCTTTTTCTTTCATCTTGTTTCCCACACCTCCTGGGGAAGGTTGGGAGGAGGTGTTGCTAATTTTCACTCTTGCCTCACTTCCATGGGACCAAACATCAAGTCCTATGCATTCACTCCAGAAGCAACGCTTTCCTTTGTTAAACAGACTCAGGGGCTCACGGCCAGCATGTCAACTGCTTGGCTGATTAATACTAACTGATGAGGTAACTTTTGGCCACGCTCATTTTGGATCTGGGGAGCCTTGCAGCTAATGAAATGCCTCCTTCTCTAAAAACAAACAAACGAACAAAGCAAGGTTTTCCTTCCCCAGATGGGAAGAATTTACTGAATTCCTGAGACACCTTACCTTGAAGATACATTTCCTCTCCTTCGGTGAACATCTGGTTGCATCTGCTGCATCGTGCACAGCTGGGGTGGTAATGTTTGTCACCTGCCTGCAAGAGAAGAGGGAGGACTCCTTAGTTTGCACCTTGTCACAGATCCCAGCCTCTTTTCTGGATCTGGGGATTTGGAGGCAAAAAGAAACAGCTGAGGCAGGAAAAATAACTGTGCAATTGACCTAACCTTCCTACACCAACAGCCCTGGAAGCGGAAGCTGACCTCATTAGACCAGCTACTGATGCCTGCATGATGGGTTGCCTTCCTTCTCGGGGTTTCTGGCATCTACCTCTTGGCCTGGTCACTCTTGGATAGTTACTAGTTATACACCATGCGCCTGAGATGAGTCCACTCCACCTCCAAAAAATCCCACCCCCAAAACATTAACCTCCCAATTGATGTGGAGACCCATACGGATTTGCACTGATTTGCAATAAAAAGGAAGGATTCTCATATTTAGCAGGTTCTTATTTTCCTAGCTAAACTGGCTAAAAATAATAAAACCTATCTAGCTTACATCAAGATGGGAAAAACCATAGTAAAGGACATCATCCACAGCTTTCATCTTAGGAGAACCCCAAATTCTCTCCTGTGTTGCCTATAACAGTATTTTGCCAAAGTCTTCTATTAAGTGTTTTCTAAAGAAGGCATTTTACTGAGATGGCCTTGAATTATTCATGAGCTTTTCACATTCCTAAATATGACAGATGCCATCACAGCAGGTGTTGACTTCCCCAAAGCAAAATGTCACTGGACACAGGGACAATTCTCGAGACAGGTGCCAAGTCACATTAGAGTCATGGTCCAAATGCATACCTGACAAAATGAAATCTTTTCATTTATAGCTTGCAAAAAATCTTCACCACCTAAAGATTTTCTAATGTACTCTGCAATGAAATCATTTTATCAACCAAGAGTGAAATATTTCTTTTGCATGAACCACGTGCTATGGCAGTGCTGAGAGTCCAGAGTTAGAAGTAGCTGCCCCCTCTATGTTTGCATGAAATCTCAACAGGAAATCAGAGGTCAGGTAGTGATTCCTTTCTCACACCCTCCAGGAGAAACTACAAAAGCCACTTAGCAACCAGAGTGCGAGATGGTAGTTGGTTACTCAAGGCACTCAAGTGGGAAAAAAATGAAGATATTTGAAAATAGAAGCCAGGAATGAAATCTGTTCAATGGTGCCAACTGGAAAATTCTAGAAGTGGTGCTCTTGTTTTGGTTCACACACTATTATTTAATTTTTCTTCCCTAGGGGATGAAGGAAGCCTAGACAATGTCATGTAAAGTAGCTCCTTCCTCTAGGCCATTCAGGGTCAAATGTGAGTAAAAGGGGAAAGAAGTCCCTGTAAGTTCTAAAGCACTGTAGTCCAGCTGGGATGTTAATGCTGAGAGTTCCCAGCCAGTTAGGACAATCTCGGGATTCTCAAGGAAAATGTAAGTGAAAGAATTAAGGCACCTTTACAAGAAGTATGTGTAGTCTACAGTGAAAAGCACACTCCCCAGTAAACTGGGAGTAGGAAGACAGATCTTCAAACTGATACAATATATCTATTATATTTAGTGGCACAACATTAGCTGCATTCTCAAAGAGCACCAAGACAATGAATTACACTTTCACCAAAGCTTTTTTACATGGTTTTAGTCCTCGCCCAAGTGATAAGGCAAGAAGAAATAAACATGCAGGTCGCTAATGAAAGAGTTCAAACAGCTAGATAAAAAATAAACATATAAAACCCCACAGCTTTCTATTGACTAGCAAAACAAATTCCGTCAGTGTCATGGGAAAACAGGACTCCATTTCTAATACCAACAAACAAACCCTTCAATGCCAGATCTACATAAAGAAAACTATAGAATTTAACTGATGGACAAAAAAGGCTAACAGGCATATAATATTTCTGGATGAGGAAACTAAATACTTAAAGATGTCAATTTATCTAAAATGAACCTATTAATGCAATGCATTTCCAATCACAATACTCATAGGAGTTTCATCTACAGACCTTGACAACCTGATTCTGTAAGTTCATATGGAAGAAGAAAAATGCACAAAAAACAGCATCGACGAAGGGGGGTTTTTCCCTCCCTGACATAAAAAAGTTATTCTAAGGCTCAAATAATTCAAGTGCTTTAATACTGGTACAGAAATAGAAAATAAGTCATGAAACACATAACTTAGGAAAGCCAGTCACACAGCTCTACACAAGAAATTTAGTCTATGATAAAGAAGGCATTTCCAGTGAGTTGCAAAATGGATTATTCCACTAACGGTAAGAACAATGGATTCTCCATACAGAGAAAGGTAAAGCTAGATTCCTAATTCATAACCTACAAAAAAAGAATTCTAGAGAGTTACAGAGCTAAATACAGAAACAAAAATGTAGAAATATTAGAAGGATTTATAGGAGATAATTTAGTATACTCAGGATAGGAGTGCTTTCTTAAGGCAAAAATCTAGAAACAATGAAGATAGATAATGACTATGTACATACATAAAAATGTCTAGACTTAGAAAAGTTAAAGAAGAGTAGCGGGGAAAATAATACTTGCCACGCAGGCCATACAAAAGATTATTATCCAGAATATATAAAGACAATCTCTAATAAAAAGTAAGTGGCAATATGGGCAAAAAGCAATTTCCAGAGGACACATAGAAGACCCAAAAAATAAATAATTAGCTCAACTCCACCAGGAATCAGGGAAACGCAATTTAGAAAAAAAAATGTATTTCCTCACTAAACTGGCAAAGATAAAGAGAAGACTAATGTGAGGGAAAAGGCATTCTCACACACTACTGGTGAACAAAATTCCTTTTGGAAGGCAGCTTTGGCAATATTTTTTCAAATTTAATGTGCACATAGGAAGCTAGCCTACAGAAACTCTCATTACCTTACAAGTGTATGTACTTAAGAGTATACGTATTAAGGATCTTCAACATTATTTATAACCGCAAAGAACAAAACAACAGAAAACAACCTAAATAACCTAAATAAGAAAGTAGTTAAATAAAATATTGACTCATATGTAGCCATTAAAAGAATGAAATAAACTTACATGGAAACAAACCAATACTGCCAAGAGAAAAAAATCATCCAGAAAAACAATGCCTATAATATAGTCGCATGAAGTACTGGCTGAGAGTGTGGAGACACTGGGGTAAGGCTGACTGGATTCAAATCCTGTTTCAGCACTCTGTGGTCTTGGGAAGGTGGCAGGCTCTCTAAACATTCGGCACTCCACTGCTGTAACTACCTCATAGGAAGTGATTAGGGTGAATGATCATATGATATTTTGAAAATGGTGCAGCACATCACTACATACGGTAATAATCCTAGAAACAACAACAATGAACAGTAACACTCTGAATAGAGGTGGTCCCAGGGCCATTCACAAAAGAGAAAGCTTGTCAGTGCAGGTTGGCACGCTGGTAAAAGGCCCCCCGGTGCCCGTTCTTCCCAAGGACAGGTATAGGAGGGTAACTGTGTTACACGAACTGTCATACGAGGTGGATGGAAGATACGTCAAGGTCCCAAGCAGCAGGGCTGTGGTCTAGAAACCGTGAGCAAAAACACTGCTAAGAAACAATACCATTGTAACCCAGGGACATCAGTCTTGACCCATGAGCTCGCTCATCTCACAATGCCAAACGAGTCAAGTAATGCAGGGAGCCAGAATCAAAGGCCACTTCACAGCCCTTCAAAAGTCTGGTTTTGTAGCAGTGCGAGCCGGGGACCACCCAGTCTCAAGGACAAGGGAGCCTCTGCTTTGCATGTGAAAGTCACTTCCTCTCTTTCATTTCTTCTTATTCCTGTACCCATTACCATTCACAGTCAAGCCCTATGCACAGAGCCAGGAAAAGGGATCAGAGCTGATCACAGACGTGGGCTCCTATGCAAACCAACCCCCAACATGGACATAGCTTAATCAAAGTCATTTACACCAGAATCTGTCTATAGAAGAAGGAAAAGTAACTCAGATCATGAGCAAAATGGAAGACCAGTGCCTACATAAGAACAGACAATAAACATGTAAATCATTGTGGAGAGGAGGTTACTGATTACAAACTTTTAAAGCATGCTGTGGGCTTTGTTGTAACAGGTGACTTCATAAAGGACAGTGACTAGGTAGCTGGCTCCAAGCCCACAGCCCGCCATCCTGCTGTGCCTGAGCCTGTGGGGCCAGATGTGTTGCCAGGAACCCGCCCCCCAACCCACCCCGGCCGAGCTCCACAGTGGCTGTTTTCCACCCATCTTTCTACCCTGCTATGTTAAAAAAGTACAGCCTATTTTGTTCTTTTTCACATATTCAAAATGCACATATTAAAAAGTCTACATTCTGGCTGGCATTGAACTCTATGGAAAGTAAACAATTTGCTTATTTAGCTGAGTTTTACAAAGCACCTGCCTACACATTCAAAGTGGAAAAAATGGCTTGCCTTTAATAGTGCTGATTATGTCAGACTTCTGTGGTAATTACTACTATTTGGTTAATCTCTAAATTGGAGCAGGAACTTGAGCATACAGACTAGAATACCATCTGGAGTAACACCACTTACTATAAGGCAGGATTTAGTTTAACCCATCAATTATTTTATTTTATTTTATTTTAATTTTATTTGAAAATCCACTGTCTGGCAGAGCAGATAATTCTGAATTCCTTGTGGATGAGGGGGTGCCCTGGGAAAGGACTACCATGTTTGCCACTGCCATTCCTTAATGTGCTACCCATGAGACCGCAATGATGTCACTACCTAACCTCTCAAGCCTCCAGGCCCCTCATCTGTAAGAAGTGAAGGGCTGGACTAGACAATCTCAAGTCCCATTCAGCTGTAAAATTCTATGATTCTGTGTGAAATCCCATACCTCTACAAGCTCACACAGCAGTGTTAACCGAAAAGCAATTTGGGTAGAGAAGGGAAACTCCTGATGGCAGGGAATGCGGTTTAAGCAATGACTCTATAGTGCCTTATACGGAGGAGTATTTCTGGATGCCCTAAGGCTTGTGACAACTCTAACAGCCCACCAGAAGTAACAAAAGAAAACAGGAACCATCC